AACGCACGCGACGAGTCGACCTTTATAGGCGGCTGGTTCAATAATGCTTCGAGTTTGTACAAGTAAAATAGATATCCTTTCCAAGGGCACTTCTTCAGTCTGTGTACACATAAACCAGAATTTTATCGACCACCGTACCTTAAATACACCACTCTTCATAAGATAGTAATTGCTTCTATCTCTTCAAATAACTGGCGACGATAGCAATAAAATCCTGTTTGTTTATATTCTATGTAAACGGCGTTTTATAGTGGTGAAAATAATTTTACTACAGGTATATCGTCGACTTAATTACTAATACGGTATTAATAGTATCCGTTATAAATTACACATGATATGTCACTGGTTTTTTTCCTGGCTTATTGCGATTAATTTGGGTTTTAATTGGTTTATCTATTATTTAGACGTTATGATTAACATCACATAGGTTGCCAGGTTAGGGACACTTTACAAGATTTTTTTTTGTAATTTATTTATTTAATAATTAAATAGTTATTCGATACGCAATTTTTAAGTGTTGTGTAGTTTGATTTAGACTATCTGTTATATTAAAATAATGTACACAAAATATACATTAGATTGGTTAATTTGGCTATAGACTATATATAGTTAATATAAAATAAATTTATTTTACAAGATATTAGTAATTATTTTACAAACACCACCTTATTCGAAAAAACTAAAACCTACTAATTTACTTTAACTATTACACTGTTTTGTTACTTTCTTTCTAAACGGGAATTAACAAAAAAATTAAATAAATAAAAATTAAAATATAAAAAAGTCATAAAACTGTTTAATAGCTATATTTTAACTTAACTTTAGGTTTATGAGAGGTTTGACGTTTTTAAGAATAAAGGGGTATATAATTTTGTACAATGAATACTAGTTTATTATTTTCTAGCTTTTACTTACGACTTCGTCCGCGTTAATGGCATATGTTTACAGACCGAGATAAAAAGTAGTCAATGTCCTTTTGCATCCCATATAGTACGTGTATACTTAATTTCATAGTGATTAGTTAAGTCGTTAAGGTAAAAAAAAACAAACAAATTCACTTTCACATTTATAATATTAGTAAGGATTGATTAATTACTATAAATTGCATAAATTTACAGTCATACATAAAGTATCCGTTAAAGATCTTTAAGTATACTTTGTATATAAGGGACGTAATATATAATGTTAAATATATATTTGCGTATAAAATACATAATTATATTTAACATTGTTTTTTAGATAAATAGGAGCACTTACATAAATTAAATCTGTAAATATGTGTTATGTACATACTTATGTATATTAAGTTGTTCATTACGTAAGTTGCGAAATAAGCTGTAATGTTGGACGTGTATGTACTTATTCATACGTACATACCTATATTTTGGAGTCGAAATTCGTACTGTCATCACAGTCAACAACTGAGTGAGAGGTTTGTAGTATTTATCCACTTAAACTATTTGACAAGTAAGTAGTAAAATTAAGAATGCATATGATACAAAATCAAGTAATAAAAACAAGATAATTTAAGATTTCGTTCTTTAAAAAAAGTAATTTTAACCGTGACATAATTTATATGACGCCAATATAAGAGAAAAACCTATCGAATGTAAAAAGAGTTAGGAGGTATAGCGTATTATTCCCATAAAAGAAAATACAGATAATTAAATCATCTAGTAGTAATATTTATTAATATAATAATATTTACTTATAATATTTATTACCAGGAAATGTAAACCAATTTTCACCTAGCGGAAAGTACACCCTAAATAGAAGTAACAGTCGCCATATCGTCCATGTTATCCATGAGTCCCTCGTTAAGTCTTGCAAATACAAAGTGTAATTAATTATTTGTGCCAATATCGAGGAGCCTTTTATGTCAGAGAATGTCGTATATAACTATATAACTGTACGTTCATATACCTACTCAGCGTATACTTTTGGAATAGGAAATAAATAAAAACAGTAGAAATTATTACCAGGCGTTCATGATACTGTTCATGTCTATAAGCGATAGTTACCACTTACCATTAGATGCGTCTTTATGTTGTTTAACATACAAGTTGCTTATAAATAATGAATAAAAATATGTGTAGTTTTCAAGAGTCATATATCCTATAATTATAAAGAGCTCTACTCGTATACTGTACATCTAATCTATAAATGTCCACTTAATAAACTGAATAAATATTACATTGCTGACCTTTTAGTTTACTAATATTTATCATAGAAAAGTCAATGTTTATTAATATAAATCAAATATAAAAGTACATTACTATGTATTCGTTATGCAAATGGCGGTTATATCATACGAGATATTAGGATGTATGATAAAATTTGTCCTCATTTTTAGTACTAAATGTATGTATTCAGATATAGATTATAATGTTTATTTTTTTATGTACTGTTTATTAAATAACAAATACATTAACTTCAAAATTTTATATACATACTTGTTTTCTACTATGCAATAATAATGATAAATGTTTTATCTTTCAAGTAGGTACGTATAATATATCACTGTCACAGAGCTCCTACTCAACATGCACCATAAAATACATAAATTTATAACACGTGTCTTCAGTTGTCGTTTTTTGCGTGTTATCAATAATTTTTATTTTAAACAAACGAAGGAATTTCTGTTGCATAAGGATCGGTTCTCATTACATTTAAAGTAGGACTTACGAGTACTAGACCAATTTCAACTTTTAAAAATAGCTCATTATCCGGTGAAATGAATTTCAAAAGTTCATAAACGAGTTTCCGTTGACTATTGTTGAAATGAGGTTGCGGTTTGAGATAAAGTAGGAATGTGCAGCGCTCTACTTTATAGATGTTTAATGGGGCAACTGCCAACTTGTTTAGTTATGTGCTACTTTGACGAAAAAAATGAATTAATTATCATGTGTACTTTAAAAGTATTTTAAAGTTACTGTTTTAGATTATAGAGCCGTTTTATGTCTACTTTTTGTATTTACATATTTTTTATAAATGAATATTTATAAAAAATTTAAGAATTTTGTTCAAATTTAGTTATATAAATCTAAAAATTATGTAATAATTCATCGGTATTTTTATACAAAATCTTTTTTTATGTTATTTTAACAGTAGGTAAATAACAATAAAAAAAAATATAATTCATCATCACCATCATTTCAGCCATTATCTGTCCACTGTATATCCATATATAGGACTCCCCCATAGACCACCATACAAAATTTAAAAAAATGTAAAGTTAATGAACGGTTTCGAACCTGCATCCACTGACTTCCTGCAATACATTTGAGGTCGTCACTCCATCTATTTGGAGGGGTGGGGGGATCGTCCTACACTGCGTTTGTCCGTTTGTCCGTGCGCGGTCGTCATTTAAGGACCTTTCTTATTTATTATATTAGGTCGTTAAAAAATAAAGTACTAGTTTAAAATTAGTTTATTTGTAAATAATTGTGCTCTAATTTAAAAGAAAATGTAAAATTAATATTAATCCAAAATGTTCAAAGAGCAACTGTGTCTTTACAAATTTTAATGTATGCATATAGGTAAGTATTCTAATATGTAGGTGAATATTAACTACCTTAACTGCAGATAACACTAAGTGTAGAGAAAAAAATTATGAGACAGCAAAGCGGTGCTAGAGAATGAGGCTCCGGTGCAGTTAGTGATTTCGCAATCTCAGCAAAATTACAAAACAAATGAGGTCATCGTCAAACAATACCTGTCCATTTATGCTTACAGAATAACTACAGGTTATATTAATAAGAAGTATTAACAAGACCCGCGGTATTTCAAACGAAAATTTTTTTGTAAAAAAATATCTTTTATGACACTTATCGATATATATTTTACACAGAGGCGTATATATTAATAATTGTACAACACTATAAATATTAATTTATTGCTTTGTTACTTCTAGGTTGCATGTAACAGTTTTCCAGTTTTGTAGAGATTTAGGAGTCTGCATTGCTATAGTGCATGCATTAATTTTTGCACCTATCGCCATACGACATTAGGTTTCATTCAGTTACGTTTGCTGTTTTCAGAAAGTAGAAACATTTTGGTGTTTTAAAATTTGTATGTTTATTAAAATAACTCCAATATGTATTAAATAAAATTTTACATCTGTACAATCTACTAAATGTCCTTTTAAGCTGCATCCTAAAATATTCAATTTCAAAAATCCATATTGTTGTGTGCTATTATATATTGCATACATATTCTTTCAACATATTTGGGTTTTGGTAATTGCGATTTGATAACCGATTAGTAAAAAATACTAGCAATAATGTAATTGTAAATTTAGTAACCAAAAACTGATTTTATTACAACATTATATATGTATAGTGCAAGCAGCATTATGCAAATTGTGAATGTGATGAGAAATTAAATCATAAATTATAAAATAGTTTTAAAATATTGTGCATATTTTCAATATCAGATTTTATTTCAAAATGTATGTGATGTTTTTAAAATGTTGTCAATAATTTTAAGTTTTATTTCAAAATCTTTTGGCCGAATTCTTTCATTATTTAAGACAGTCACATTTTTTGTACAGCTCAGCGTCAAATCTGTACGTTTAATACCGCATCACGTATGATGACATCATCACCAATGATTCATTTAAATTCTTTTGAATTAACAGTCATTTTTCAATAATGAATAAACTTAATGCGTAATACATTTTATGTATATAATAACAAACAAACCAAATGATTGTAGCAGATGATCTAGTTATAAATAGTACGGCCATTCATAATGTTTACATTTGTTTAATAAACATATTTCAGCCCCGTTTTTGTGTATAACATAGATAGGTGCTTGTTTCATTTACTGTAAATTATTTAAACAAAAATTCGTGGTTACTTATCTAAAATTCTCATTGTTTAATTTGGAATTACATATCGTAACTCAAAAGTCAAGTCCTTAATCTGTATCTTTATCTTGTCTGTTGTACGTTTTCAGTGATAATGTATCTAATCGAGTGTAATTTTATATTGTTTTAGTGTTATCAGTAGGCGCATTGAACGGCATAAGCGGCGTGGGCCTCCCCACGCTGGTATCGGAGTCAGCGCTGGGTGCCGTGGATATGGTCCAGGAAGGGGAGACAGGCGCGGGAAGCGATGGCCTTATCGCTCCGCGTCGGTTGCCCAACCCGTATCTAGAAAGTCCACAGCGCATGGATCTGCACAGAGAATTGCTCTTTAATCAGAGAATGTAAGTAAAAAATATTTGATATAATTTGTAGTTCAAAATCTAGAGAAAATATTACAATCTTCTGAAGTAGAGCAAGACAGAAAAGCAGAATTTAAATAAATGCATTTTTTCTATGTGTAAAAAATATAATCTTTCATAATTAACCTCTGGTACAACTGTAAAAAAAATATTTTATATCATTTGAGATTCTGGAATTTAATTTCAATTTTACAATGTTATCTAAATCTTAAACAATTAGAAAAAAAATATTTAGTTTTGGTATGAGTAATTTTTCGTTTTGTTTTACTTTTGACAATTACAAGTATTGTTTAAAGGTCAATTGCTAACTAATATTATCAATATGTATATAATAAATATATATATCCATCAGATAAAATTGCTAGTATAAAATTTATTCATTCATTAAATATTTTTAATCAAAACGCAAGGTATGTACCGATATTAGTTTCTATAAAATGAAAGATTAATTTAAAAAAGGACTATGCGATATTGATGGATAGATTATAAGCGTGCCAATCTTATCGAGCTTTGAAAGGAATTCAAGAGCCCGATTCTTCAGAGGCTTGTCATCACCTTTGTCTATTGTTATCAGTAAGGGTACAACTTAAAAGTACTTTGTGCTTTGTACAGGGAGATGTTGCTAATATAATCCACGATATAGCTTGTTTTTGTAACATACACTGGGATCTGTTCAGCTGTTTGAGTAATAAACATCCAATCATCTTTACAAACTTTCACATTTACAATATTACAAGCAACCCGCCCAGTTTCACACGAATAGATGAAAATAATATATAGCATATGCTATTTGCTGCTAATATATTGTATAATAGCCACTATAGGTAAAAGTAATTTACTATTACTAATATTTATTACAAATAAACAAATATACAAAAAAATTTAAATGGCATGGACTAGTTACATTCCATAGCAAATAATTTAGTGTAAGAAGTATCCGATATAATAATAATTTAGGAAGTGTTTCTTGCCTTCTTTCGTGCCTTCTTTGTAATTAATCTTACATATGTATATGTAAAATCTATGGTCGTCAATGCTACATTTCATTATCACACACGAAATTACAGAAAAGATATAAATCATGATAAAATACTTAAATCATATTTTATCGGTCATTAAATTATTACGGCTACAATTTGAACTGCGTATCGTCATTAAAATTAGTTAGTACTGTCCAATAACATTAATGTTATTGTCACATTGTACCAAAAATAATTTTGGAACAATTCTATCCTCTTATAGTTTCATTTTGCGTTTATTTTTATTAGGGTTATAAATATAATTATAACTATAATCTTATTTATAATGGGGAGTTTCCAATTCGATGATTATCATTTGTAATTTACTTAATTATGTTCTCCATTCATTAAAAGATCGTGTGGTAATGGTGTAAGAAAGAAGTATGCAACCTTTCCAATTCATCCTCAGGATGTCATAAGATATGACTAAGAGAACAAAGCAAAATACATCAGTGCAAGACAATAAAATTTTCAAATATCAAACCTTATACTAGGCCGCCTGATCAGCTTAGTAATAGAGAGAGCTATGGCAAGAGACCCGTGTCCAGTGTGGGTCATTAATGGATAGCTAAGATAGTTACATTATATAGTTATGGTAACATTCTTAAAAGTTCAAACAGATAGCGCCAGAATTCTTTTATAATCTGAGAACGGAATGAGCAGGGTGCCGGCGCGATTTTGTTTTTTGTCAGCATTCCTTGTCAGGAATTCACCTATGAAACATGCTTACCCCGCTTAATTTTATTAATCCCATTCAAACGAGAATGTTTGAAATGTGGGTGCATCGTGTTCAACTATAGCGAGCAACAAGTAGAGTTTTTGCTAGAACTAACTTTGGATTCTGAATGCACAGGTGCAGTGCATCCTGTCTTGTGAACAATTATTACACATCTGCCGCGTGTGAGCGCACTCTGCGAGATGCATTTTGTTTTGTTTGCATATGTTCGATACAAGAATGACGTTCATAAAATATATAAATATTATTTATCTGTATATTATAATCCATTATAACGAATCGTTATGAAGTTTGATATAAACGTAGTATGTATTTGGAATTAAAAAGGGGATATGTTGTATTTTGTCCTTATAATTTGGTACATCCCGGTTACACAGGCCTAAGATAGACCTATATCTAGCACTGAATAGATACAGATGAATTTTACGGTAGAGTTATTATAAACTAATATTATATACATATTCATGCGGCCAAATTTCTAAAAAAAGCAATCACCAATATGCTACAGTTAAATAATTACCTATATGTAACGACATGCTAAATGTATACCTTCATCTTCGGTATAGGAGGAATACCCATCGCCGACGAAGATTGCTTTCGTCACAAAAATGGCTTTAAGATGCTCTTCACATTTGTTTACATAAAGTAACGAAAAATCGGAGTTTTTTATAGTTCTAGTTCCAAAGAGTTGAGGATTTGGTATTTTATTTTGATTTCTTAATTCTATCGATTAATTTCTTATCTTAAAAAAAGCATTTTTAAATTTTTACTTTACTTATTATTATTGTTATAATTTCTTATTTCTTTTTAATTTTCAAAACCGATTATTAAAAAACGCTAAGACGTAAAAGTTTGGGATCGTCGTTCATTAATAAACTAATATAAAGTTGGTATAGTATCATCATTAAAACTAGATAATTATTCTCTAGATTAAAATTGCTTTTTTTTTATTTTCCATCTAATACCTAAGTAAATTGATCTTAATTGAACCAAAATTTTAATCAAAATGTTGTCGATATCATTTCGAATTTTCTAGTAAATAAAACAAGAGTTTTTCATAAAAAATATATAACAATAAAGTTGAAAAATTGGTAAATTATTGTAATACTCGTATAATAAAAAAACAATCACTAAAAAAACAATTTCTAAAAAAACTAAACAGTAATAATTTGTAAATTTGTATAAATTTCCTTGTACAATTCAATGCGCGTTCCTACCCTAAACTTGAGAATCGCCATTTTCAACCGACTTAAAAAAAAGGAGGTTTTTAATTCGGTTGTATTTCTTTTACGTTTGTTACTTTATAACTCCGTCAATTCTAAACGAATCTTTTTATATCTAAAAAGATATAGTGACAGATTGGTCCCATAGAAATTCTAATAAAATCGTTTCAGAAGTTTAGTTTTGAAATCGAAATAACTGATTTTGATTGAAGTAGATTTTTTTGTGGAACACAATCTCAAATTATGTAATACCAACTCTTTTTAACTGAAAACCGTTGTATACACTTACTTGACCAATGATCATGACTCTACTAGCCCAAAAACAAAATGTACTTTCTATTATGTTATTTATATTTATATTTGCAATATGTTAATGCGTGCACAAAATTAATATGTAAATTAAACAGCATAACATAATATGACCTAGTCTCTATTCATTGCAATGTGAAATTACAAACTGAATGAATAAAAAGAAACGTAAATATGTAAATATAAAGAACGGGCGTTGGTGAGTGAATAGCAGAACTCGGCAGAAGTGACCTGTTGAATCAGTTCATTTCCCCGTCAATACGATTGTCGGGCATCTCGTCCCTGTTATTTCCGTGCTTGCGAGCGACGGAAGGAAGCAATTCCCAGCGCGCTAACGGGAATGTCTCTATACATACCTGTGCCTACTTACTCGCGCATACCGTATGTTTATCAACACGACAGGCAATGCATTTTATGACATAACAATTGTTATTCATATGATAAATTATTTGTTCATTTATTTTTGTTTGAGTTATATTGTCATTTACATATATACTTTCAATATAAAGCGATATCGAAAGTGTACAGAGCATAGGAAGGGATAGTGAGAGATTTTCTTAGAGGGCTTTTACAGGTTTATCACTACAATGCTAACTATATTATCTAATACAAACATTAACTAGTACGTATAATTTTCAGTAATGCCGATCAGGATGTGATAGATTTTGTCGAAGATTAGATTATTCGAAGATTGAATTTATTCTTAAAGTTCGTTTTTATAATAATAAGGAATTAAATGGATTGTAACTAAATTGTAAACTATATTCTTCTCTAAAGGATAGATAGCTAGATAGATAATTTAATTACATTACTTACAGCACACAAATTACAATACAAACATATACATAATACACAGAAAAAAGATAAAAGAATGAAAATAAAAAAAGCAACACAACAAAAAAAAACAGATTCATGTTCAGTAGCGAGACGTTAATGTAATTATTTTCAAAAAAGTAAAAAATATATATAAAAATAGATAGTTGTTAAAAATTAAAATGGTCAGGAGCAAGTTGAATTCATACGTCAAGGGTTCCGTGCATAAATATATATGGCATACAATTATCTTAATTGCTATTTATCTCATATAAAATAGACAACTAATAGTTTATATTATTGATACTACAATACTACGATTATTTTTGGACGTTTTTATGATAATTTCTCAAAAATTAGCAGTAGTATTTCCGAACCGATACGAACCGTCAATGTATCATTGACCCGTACTTACAAAATTTCCGAATTCCAAATCAATAACATTAATAGTTGCTGAAGCATAACGCTGTGACATTTTAGCACAGAACCCTAAAAAAGCAAGTTAATGCAAAAGCCATTTACTATGTGTGTTCGGTCTAAAGAGATCGGAGATTGCGAACTCGATTTAGCTTGAGATAGGCCAAGCCAGTGGCCTCAATCGATATGTAAATAAAGTTACATTTCATCAGCAAGGAGTGCACGCGATGTGCCGTGAAGCCGCCGTAATTAGCCAGGATTAAATCTCGCTGACGGTCGGTAATGGGCGCGCCAACTTGATTCCAGCACTCCACGATCCGAACTAAACTGATTCTAAATGCTCCAGTGAATTTTGATTGCAAACCTATTTTGAACATACTCGCAGGAACGTAGGTACTGGTATATTTTATGCAGAATAAATTTTGTAGTGCTAAAATAAACATAATTTCCTCATTCCACGTCGTTGGTGACTCAAATGAAATATTAAAATTTACGGTCTGCATATATTTCTGATATCGCTATAATATATTTCGATATAATAAATATAACGTGGTAACGGGGTAAGAATATAATTACAATTTGGCAAGAATACAATGTATGATCACTCTTCTTTTCTTCCCTTGATCGTAGAGGTATCTTTAAAAATAAAAGGAATGAAAATTAAATCTAACACAAGGATTGAAGTAACGTGTATTAGGTCATACACGAGTAAGACACAAGACCGACTGGTCTTCGCGGTAATAGTAAAAAAAAAAATATGCCAGTTACAGTATTTATAGATGACAATGTTTTAAATTATATAAACAACTCACCGTTAGATTAATAGACGTATATCAATTTAGTACAAACAGCTGCTGTGCAACTAAACCAATGAGACAATGCAATGACTTCTGACGTCAGAGCTACCAAATAGGACACCACATGCAGGTGCCGATTGCGCGTGGGAATGCTGTTTAAGGAAATGGTGGGCCTCGAACAAAGATGAATGCACAGTCACTATATTAAAATATATATAGTAATCCTTACTAATATTATAAATGTAAAATTGAGTCTACTTGTTTCTTTTATTCCCCTAACGGCTCAAACAATCGTTGTGAAATTTGGAATGAACGTATTATTTGGAATGAAAAGAAACATAGCCCCATCCCCCATAAGGGAGTAAATAAATGATCATAGTTTACTTAGATGATCGCATTAATTCTCGTCTCTTATAAACCATAAACCATGCAACATAAAAGTATAAAAGTTAATATGAAAATATATTTTGTAGAATGTTTTGGATATATGAGTAGGTACATACTTATATCCTTATTGTACAATACTTGCATAGCTTTTTTCTATAAATACATACATCTATATATAAAATATTCCATTATCTGTTCCAGAGGAAAGAATGTTCTTAATCAAAAGAGTGAACTACAAAAGGCACTTTCAAAACACAAAGAAAAGCAGCTTATGAATCAAGTTAAGGAACACAGAGAAACGCCAGGTAAATATTATATCCACGTTCTTTGTACATATTTTTAATTGAAATTTAGGATTAGTAGTTTTTTGGTATTAACATTTGCGACATTTTTTATTTTCACATTAATTAACTGTAACATAATTATTACATTTAAGTTGAGTTTACAGTCACGTCTAAGAGACGTTCACTGCTTTGTGCAATAATTTCATAACAATTTTCTGATAATTTGGAAGATATCACAAGGCCTGTTTCATTGGCTGATATTTATTTAATACAAATATAGTTTGATCAAAAAATGTACATTGCATTACTATATTACTGACTTTATCTAAAAGCAACTCGCTTATAGGTATATAGATAACTAGTAAACATTTCAAATGCTGCAAAGGCGTTAAAAAAACTACGTATATACGTATTTTTTTTAACTTTTATATAGTTTTCGACATCGACTTTATTGAAGTATTTGTTAACAGTATTGGGTACGCAATCGAAAATATAAACAATATTTTGTTTTAAATCGTAGTGATTCCAAAAAGTATTATTATTTATTAAAATCTGTGCATAATATAATTATAAATATATCGCGAAATATAAGTACATAGATGGAAAATAATGCAGGCTAATTGCGAAACTCCAGTTTAAACTTACTTTTGAAAACATGTGTCAAAGTGTTTGATCGGTACATTAAAAAATTTGTTCTAGTAAATTTAATTATGAGCATTTTTGCAATAATATTTTTTAAATCTCTATTTATGCTATGGTACTTATATGTACATATACTTACATACTTATATATACATAACATATAAAAATCCTAAAATCCTAGTACATATTAAGAAACCTAGAATGTTTCTGTTTTTGCGCAGTGGCAATTTACATTAACTTCTTGTAAAGGCTAAAATGATGCATATGGAGGTAAACATGAATTGCAACTTGACTTCTAGGCGTTTTTTTTTATAAAAAAATATTTAGCGTTTTTTTTTTGGTTCCAACAACATTTTTATAATATTATGTGAAACATAACACAAATTACGAAATAATACTGAATCGAGATACCTACGTAATGCGATTATGTGACCATCTTCTGTGTAATCAAATAACATTGCATTCTTTATTGAATGGGCATAATCAACTTGTGACCTTCTGCTGCACTATGAATTACGGATTTAATACTGATATGATACATATTCTATACCTATTTGATTAGATTGAATAATGCATGTTCTGAAAAAGTCTGCATTTGCAAAATAAGAATGGTCGAATGTAGTTTACAAATGACTTGTAACGGACAGTATTTTGTATTTATTATAGTCGAATATTACATTAATACACAGACATATTCACTAATAGAGTGACTATCACATATTTTACAGATGTTTCCCGATTTTCTTAATTGAAGCCAAAATTATTGATAAAAATGACGGTTTCAAGTGGTCGAAATGCATCAGAATCAAGTACAATAAAATATTTGAACATTTATGATTAGTAACAATTATTAACTATTATATTATTTAAATACCGACTGAATATTATTGTTTTTTATTTAATTAATATGTTGATCAACTTCAGTTGACAATTCAAACTAAAAACAATTTTATTATGGGATTGTTCACAAGCTAAAATATGGACTCTAATATATGGGCTCTGGACTCTATAATATATAGTGCTGACATCAAGTTTTGGAGAGTTAAGAGAGGGTACTGAAGAGTCTTACGCCCAAGTGAGAATCAGAATTCAGAATTAGTCAGAATATATATGGAATGTGGAATCTTCCGAGATTTGGACATTCAAAAGTTAATTCTAATATTTTTTTATGACATGAAAATAGAATGGCAACTCCGTGCGTGTTACCGGTATCCGCTGCTGGAGTACCAGTGACGGATGATAGTCGAGAAATAGAAATCAGGTTAGGTGGTCCATTGAAAAAAAATCATCGTTGTTGTTTACATTATTAGGAATAGGACCGTTAAATTACATTACTGACAATTAACAAGGCTCAAGTCAAATTTTGTAGGAGAGATATTAGACCACTTTTTGTTTTTATTTTGACTTATCTCTCTAACTGGATATGTGTGAAATGTGTCTATTTTTAACATACCTACATTAATTTTTTTCACACAAACTCGTTTAAGTACTAAATCAGACTTTCCTAGAATACTTCCAATTTGGTCTTTGTTTATAAAATGTGTAACGTATGCATCCGTAGCATTTCCACTAAATGTTGCCTTACTTTGTTTATAGCAATTTCTCTAACGGCTGACTATTCGTACAGACGGGAAGCAATTTATGCAATTTCTCTTTCATCAGACATTGGTTATCGACATCCACTAAAACTGATTAAAGGATATTCTTGTAAATTAATTGAGCTTTGTTTGTTATCATACATTGCTTATTATTGTTATTATTTGTACGTTACATAAGGACACGAATTTAAATAATAGTATATAGTTTAATTAGGCATTTACATGTATACGTTTTTTGTATTTGTTGTATTGTTATAGTATTTGCAATTCTGGCATGCCTTTTTTAACCGAAATGAATCGAATGAAATTGATTACTTAAACATAAAACAAGTAAAAATAATATCAGAAATTAATAATTTGGATTAATTTACTGAATTGATCTTAATAAATCTATCAGCTATTTATGCAGTCTATTTATATTCATATTAGCTCTAAATTAATTATGACGTGATTGAAGCATTTGTTTTTTAAATATTATTCTAGTTTTTTTATGCGACTCAAATTGCAAGCACTTCTGATGCCAGTTGATGTAAAGTAATTGCATCTATCGATATACACCTTACATAATGTGATAGAATGTACTGTAATGATTTTATATGCGTACTATTGTTTAGATGAACAGTAATAAAAACATACGTAAATTGTTTATTAAGCGCTTATACCGAGTATAAAATAAAAATAAAATTGTGTTGTTCATGTCTATTATCGCTTCTGTCATGTGAGCGTAAGCTTGTCTGCCATTCCTTGTTCCAAGTACATTATAAAAAAATTAGGTGAACGACCTGTGCGTTTGCAATTTGAATAATAATTTCAATTTATACTTACTCAAATTATATAGTTAATACTAAAATATATTTTTATATAAAGTATACGTTAGATATATATCAGGTACAAAACCAACTTGATATATCTCAGAAGTTGTTTTTGTGAAATTTTAATATGTCTTTGTATCTAAATTTATCATAAAATAAAAATATCAAACTCGAAATGGCCAAAAAGAAATTAAAAATATCCGATACTGGTTTGTACACAGCAATAACTGAAGTAGAATCTACTTGGCAATGTATACATAATGTATACAATTATTTATACAGCTATTTATTGTATACTTATTTAAATAAGTATATTTTTTAAAGGAATATTTGCTTATGTAACTAATATTAAATCATCATACATTTCAATGAGACTTAGTCATTATCAGTTAAGGCTAAGTTAAAAGAAAAAGAAAAAAGACTATTAATTTCCTTCCAGCTTGATTCTTTTCCATGTTATATTTCCTACATCAGTGCAGACAAATTATGTACCTACATAATTTCAGATTCTGAAATTATGTTTGATTTACCGTATCTTCATAGATTCCTTAATTGGCAGATGTATTTTGTCAAGTTAAATTTTAGTCTAGTAGTTTTTATCATGCCCACAAATGTCATAAAATATAATAATTGGATGATTTATATACTAATATACTAAAAAAAATTAGTTTGCAAATATAATATTGGTTTGAACATTTTGCTACTATATGCAGGTGTTGTAAATGCTCTCAGTTCAGTTGCACAGAGTGCAATGTACTCTTTGGTAGGTCTCAATTAAGACCGGTCCGAGTGACCATACAGTAACATGTAAAAAATATTTTTATATTCCATTTGAAATGTGTGCAATTGCATAATTATATCATATATTCTTCGTTATTGTACTCATGATAATATGAGCTACGAAATCCAATTATTTTTTAATTCGACTAGTAGTTACAGAGATTAGCGCATGCAAACTATTCCACTTTATTTATTACATGAAATATTTGTTAGAAATAATTTTCAAAACCAATAGGTTATGTATTAAAACGAATTGAGAGTGGATGTAGTATACTATATATGCAATGTTAAGATAATTAACACTGCTTTAGAAAGAAGTCTGCTCTGTAAAGTATCTGACGTGAAATATGAGCACTATAAATCAACAGTACTTATTTTATTTTTTCAGAACTAGAACGGGCTATAGCTGAGAGAGCACGTCGGCTGGAACAAGGGGAATCGAGCACGGAGGAAATAGAACCAGGAACTAATCCCACACTTCAGGAGGTGCGCGCGCGTCTGCGACATGCTGCGCCGCCATCTTCGGCCACTTCTGCACATTAATTCTACTTAATAATACCTACATTAAAAACCCTTTTTTAACTACTATAACAGTATCAGATACTTTTTGAGTGAGCTATCAGCCACTTTATAATATCTAATCTTCATTCGCTGTATAGGCGTAGAGTAAACATGTAGTAGTATACTATAGTGGCAACTGGCGCCATCTGCAGTTGTATGCATTTATTACATCTGCAATGTAACAATGATCACTTGCTATTTACGTGCTTATGATTGTGATCTTAATCCTAAAGAAGATTTACAATATTATTTGGCTGTTTAAAAAAAATCTTTATAAAACAATAAAAAAATCGTTTTGCATTGAGACAAGCATTTTGTAATGTGTGAAGGGTAAAGTGTGTTTTATTGGTGTGAATGGCTTTGATTGCCAAAGCTTATTATCATTATAAGTTATATTATTTTGTATTATATACTTTTAAGGGTTTAATAATGTTTGTCATCGAAACGTAATCACTATAAGTGTCACAAATAGTTGATTTATAATTTTTATCAAATATTATGTACAGATAATTAGGTATTTTGTTATGATCTTTACTACAATGTAAAAGAAATGCAGTTTGCAGTTAAGTGTAGTATGACTGCAGTTTACGGTATCTATTAATTTAACTGAATATTTACAGTCTAATAATTACATATTCGAGAACAATAATAAATTATAAATCGTAACATTTATAAGTAGATATACTCCTTACCGCAAATACTCTGAGTGGCTAGTGTGAGCTATATAAATATTTACGTTATGACTGCGTACGTGATGTTGCATTTATATGAAGATCTAGTTTGTAGAATTATCTGCAAGTAGCGCTGCTAAATTTCACTGTAACTATCAACATAAACCTTACCGCAGTAATAAATGTTTGTATAATTTACAATAGCCACTTATGGGATACATTTAAATAAAGATAATATTAGTAAAAATGTGTTTATGACGATTTCTACGCTTATTAAAATTTAATTTTCTATTATTTTGACTACTTACCTACTTATGGAAACAAAAAATATTGACTGAGGTATCGACTGCATGAGATTTATTGATAAGGGTAAATGTCGACTTGAGCAAAAGAAAATAATAAAAAAAAAATATTTTTCTAAACTTTTTAACGTCACAAACCTTAACATTTCGTAGTAGTGTTTATTTGTAAACATTTACTGTTCTCGTTAAACTCCTGAATACATGTCTATACGTAGATTATCTAGTTATATCTATCGACGTAATCCTCGTAAAATATTTTATTACGATAATTGTAGAAAGTAGATAGATGTTGGCAATTATAGAGTGTATGATTTAGATATATTACATTATATTCATATTTTATCAACAGAGTAGAAATCTTATGAAAGTTGGCATGAAAATAGTGACTTTAATAATAGAAAATAACCCATATCGACACCTATTGTAATTGGTCGGTAATAAGCCGATGAATAATATGCACCAATAGTTGACCAGTATGTTTGAATCCGAAGTGTTCAATATAAGTGATAGATGAGAAATATTTTTGTATGTTTATGTAATATCTGTAGAATGCCTACGATGTTTCAAATTTTAATAGGTAAATTCCTAAAACTAAACGATTCACATTAAATAGTGTATCTATTTATGGTAATTTATATATTATTGGAAGGGTTGCCTGGTCCAAATTGATTGTTTTTGAATAAATTGACTTAGTGCTTCTTTGCAAATTATTTTTTTTTGCAATTTTTCTTATATTAAGAAAACAAATGCCTAAATTAATAGACGCTAATATAAACTAACAATTAACAATGTTGTTATATATCATAAAAGCAATTTCTTAATTTGATTACTTACGGAGGCTTTATATTTATTTTATTATTTTGTATGTAGTGTGTAGCTTATAACATTACAAAAATTCAGCCAATTTAAATGACACATCATTTACTAAAAAGCATTAAGATATTATAGCCATACATCGTGACAAAGATCTGGGCAGATATATTAGCAACATACACTTATAATAATGTATTTTATAAGGTGACCATATAAAAACAACGTACGCTTAGCGTAGTTCAGTTAATAACATATATTTAATTACACTAGGTAATATAACTTCCAAAATTTTGGGAACTTCCTACATTTTCTGGCAATCTGGCAACCCTAATTGAGAGCCATAAACACGAAAAAAGTGCAATAATGTTATTGTTTTTATATTATTTCGGAATTTTAAGTGTCATTATTTTCATATATACCACAATTTATAAAACATATACTGTATCCTTCTCCAACTTTTATTTCACTTTTGAGAGAACGTTACTGTTTCATATTTTGTGAAAGATGACTGTGAAATCCACAATGAAAATATTTAAGTAGGCAGCTTAAATATTTCTATTGCGTATCTTGTTTAATTATACTATTTATTGAAATATGTAATATAAAATCTACCATAAATGTATAAGTTTTAAGAAATAAAATATAATGATGTCAAAATTGTAAGAAAAATAATGGGAAGTGTAAATAAATTTTTGGCTATAAATATCTATAGTAAAACAGCCTAATAAAATAATAATTTTATAACTTGTGGGTCAGTTTTGAGGTTAAAATCAAATAGACGACGCAAACGTTTTTATTTTTTGTAATTTGCATCATCAGGATATCAAAGCTTTCATCTGTGTGATCCAGTCGCCCTAGATAAAAAGCTAAATGAGTCTATCAGTAGATACGTTATCGCTTACGAGTACATGCGGGGTATACGAGACAACAACGTGCGACGTCTTGTTCTTTCTCATGCATGTATGCATGTGCTAATGAAAATGTCTCTATTGACAGATACGTTTGCCGCTTATTTAGAGGGTTGACACTAAAACTTTTATTAACTGACTCCTACATGAAAAATTTGAAATATTTAATGAAATTATATATTTTGCTAATTTACCGATGTTGCGTTAATTCATGTTTAAAATATCAAATATAATTATACTATGTCACAAATTTCTCAGAAATAATTGGCCTTATATAAATTTGATAAAATAGGTATTATTTCAGTTCCATCGCACGTTCAATACAATGGATTCAAGTTCAAATAACAATAAGTAATTTTTTACACCCGAACATGGACACCTAATAATGATTTGCCACGTTGTTATCAATTTTAATTTTACTTATCTAATACTCTTTTATATCACAATATGTCCTGACCCTCAACTTATTATTGCATACCAATAGTTATAGAAATATAAACAAACATTCAGAGGTTTAATATTAAAAATAGCGCTCTCTATCTCACCAATGTTAACAAAATTGCATATTAAAACATATGTAATTTAATTCGGTTAAACAATTGAAACGTATCAACCCCTATCCTTTATAAATATTATCGTAATAAAAATGAGCTTTAGTTTTCTCCATTGTGCCTATTAAATATTGTTGTTTATTTTCAGAGTATTAGTTATGGTTATAAGGTAGATTTTATATAGGATGACGATTCTCACTGAGATGCGTACCAAAATTACTAAGGAGAAAAACCATTCCACTTGTTATTCATTCACTTGATTGTTTGTTTAAACATTTTTTTTTTTTGTAAAATATAAGTTTTAAGTTAATACTGTATCTTAGTACAAAGTGGCGTCTTATTATGAAGGAATTTTGTGCTTCAAACCTCGAAGCTGTCATTATTGTGGCCATTTATGTTGGATATTATGTATTTAAATTAGTATAAGTATTTTACTACTGTAATGAAAGTTTGACCATAAAGCTGTATCAGAACTCAATGATTTGCATAGACAAATAAAAATGTTTTAGCGCCTTACTTGTCTTATTGCTTATGAAGTTTCATCCCACTAATTACACATCAAACTAGCTGTTAAACAAAAATTAAGCAAATAGATAGGTTGTACTCATTTTACAAGAATTTGATAACGAGAAAAAGAGTATTCATACAATATTAATTGCTGTGACAGGTTAAAGTCAATTTTCGTACAAAATGGCCTACTGCTTTTTAACCTTACATGCTTTTTTACATGCTTTCCCTCTGCTTTATGTTAATGATAGAGAGTTAAATACATATTAGGTATTTATATATTTCAATTTTATAAACAGTTTTTCAAAGTCATCTTTAAAAAAATATTAATTTTCTGGTTGAATAAAACGCATAATAAGGGATTCATAGCTCAATTACTGGCCTATCATATATATATATATATATATATATATATATATATATATATATATATATATATATATATATATATATACATAAGAAAAGTAAAGAGAAACTGCAATATAAGAAAATGCGATTTGATTAGTTCCTAAAATAATGTTAGGGACTAGGCACTGCGTATAGTGCTGAAACTATCATGGGTCACCTAGAATTCGTCACGATGGGCCGACTGACTTGATTTCATTCTTATTTATAATCCCTCACTGATATCGTCATCACCGTCGCTATCATCGTCATCTTATACCGGTAGAGTGGGTAGGATTGCCATTTCATCATGATATCATAAAAAGAACTAGGTAGGCTAAGAAGGTATTACAATTCATTCCCTATTTGTCTTTTGATGAAGATTTTTTTTCTAGTTAGACGATCATGCAATTCCCATTAACATGTTTTTTTATTCTTAATAGAATATGAATTTTTATGAAAGTTCGTGATGTGATATAAATGTATGAAGTAATAACTATTGCCTACATTTAACTTGTAGGCGCGCGTGGAATCGTGCATCAAATAAACGACGTCTTAATGTCTATTATTACAAATTTACTTATTAAAATTTAGCAAGTACCTTCAACCTATATTTACAATACGTACGAAAAAGTAAAAAAATGTACTTTGTACTATAATACATATACATTATATCTCGGTATTGCTTTTTTATTGAAATTTCCGCATATTGATTGGAATTGTCGGATTTACTTAGTTTAGTCATATTTCAAATTCAGAATTATGGTAAATAGCTGTCTAACGTAGCTATTATTAAAGTATTTTCAACAGTTTTGTTGATTTCCAACGAAACGTTTAATTAACGTTGCTAATGACGGAAGACGTAGTGGTAAGTGACATGAAAAACGATTAAAATGTTTGTAATGCATAACAAAGAATAATTATAATACCGCGTTTTTTTTAGTAGAATACTCCATCAGTGAATAATTAATAGCGCGAAATTTATTGGGTTCTTCAAGCGTGAAACGCTTTCGTTTTCGTAGAGGACGAGACTCACGTCTACTGGTGGTCGCTGAAGTGCACTACCCCTGTATGCGGTTTCGAAGCATCGAGTTCTGTTGCGCCCCTGCATTCAGTTACTTCTCGGTGTTTATCCTGAGTTGACGCTCTCGTACAATGTAAATTGTGTATATTATCGTACTAGTGAACATTGCAAACATGTATAACAAAAAATTGTGTGTTGCGGTTGTTGTATTCTTATCTTTTCAAGAATGTACTGAAGGAAGGAAATCAAGAAGGAATCAAAGGCCCAAACCTGAAGAGAATACGACACTTCAACCAAGCGTTGTTTCCTATTCTACTTTTGGATTTAATGATGTGGGATCATACGATGGCTTTGTTCCTAGTTCACCAGACTATGCAAATTACCTTACCAATATTAACCAAGAAACATCTACGAGATTATATGCGCCGGCATTCCCCACTGCGTTAGATAATATAGATACAAGTTCAGGCAGTAATTATGATTCACAATCAGATGGACAGTATTTTACTAGTCCTGACCTTGGTGGAATTCAGTCTAGTATAGTAGAATATCCAAAACATATGAACTTTTATAGTACACCTTCTTTTGATAGTGATAATCAAAATAAAAATATTTTTTCTAAAGATACTTTTGAACGTGACACAGTAGAAAATAATGCTCCCGTTTATGGTACTAAACTTGGTTCGAAAAGTAAAAAAATGTTGAACCGATTTAATGAGACTGAGTTTGACGTATACAATAGCGGAGTCATAAATCCGAGTGATATGTCGTCAAATTTTAACTTTCCTCATGGACAAGGAATTTTTGAAGATAAACCGTCTTTTGGTGAGTCTGCTAATAATTATCAAATTACTCCAAGCCATGTAGGAGCACGTCCTATTTATCAGTCTGTTAATATAGAAGACATTGTCAAACCAGAATCCAGCAATAGTCATAGTTCATTGAAATTTCCGAAAGTAATTGATTTTACTAAAATAAATTACCCCACTAGTGTAGAAAACAAATATAATTTTGCTTCATTTAATTCAATGAAAAACATTGATATGAAAAAGGAACATGAATATAAACACGATGATCAAATAAATAAATTTAAGAATAATGCCTCAACGCTTAAAGATCCTCTAACCTTTACGAGGAACTATGAAAAAAGTGCTGAAAAACAACTATCTAAACCATATTTAAATCAGGAATATTCTCAAAACTATATAAGTTCTTCTCCTATGAAAACAAATTTCAAAGACATGAACTTAGATCCAAGAGATAAAATTAAATATTCTATGAACAATTATAGCAATGAAGATAAAACTTTAAATCCTCATAAGGGTTATGAATATTCTACTAATTATAGTAATACCAGTTTTAAATATGAATATGTCGAACCAAAAAAGCCATTCACTAGTCATTCAGATGAAGTGGTTCCTGCAAGTAGTAACGTAATAGATTTAGCACATTATCAATTTCCTGAGGTAGATTATACAAGTTTTAAAAAAATACCGGATATTAAGTCTTCTTATGATGATGACGATTATAGTAATATATTATTAAACAAAAATAAAGTAAAGTCAACTGAATACTTAAATTCCTTTAAGAATATGCATGGCTCTACTCCAAGTTCTACAACAAACTGGGGCAACATTTTTAAATCTACAGATTACTCATTTTCTAAGAACCATTTACGAAAGCCTATTCATTCTGACGATATTACCAGTGACGTTGTCCATATACCTAAGAAACCTCACAGCACCAAATATAATAACGGTAAAGACATCGATTATACATCTAGCGATTTATCTAATTCTAAAATTAGAACCTACAATTCTAAAATTAAACTGGGTAATGATTGGAATTCAGACGTATACAACCATAGATATAAAACAGAAGAAGATTTATTGGGTCTTAGAAATCACGATACATCGCATCCTTCATATCTGCCAACATATAGACCTAGTGCAAACGACCTCTCCGATGACAAAGAATATTATAAAAAATTGGTAGAGAAGTGGAGACAATCGTACTGGAAGTCCAAATTTAAAAATTCATATCCAGATTATGAGAGCTATTCTACAGAAGCAAAACCTGTTCACGTGCCTATTCCGAAACCTTATCCGGTAAGTTAGTCTTATTTTTGTTTCGCAGTATAAACAGATTTCAGTATTTTTCCAGCAGATGATGCTCAAAAGAACATCTTTATAATTATGTAGCAAAAAAACTGATATGAAAGAATGCGGATCGGAAAAGCAGGCATCGTACGTCGCGCACTGATTTCTTCGCTTATTTGCTACTGGTCAGTAAAATGATGCGTGTTCAGCATGCTTAGAGAAATCATGATATTAAATACTACTTTTCATCTAATGTTACAAAGTTTATAAATTATTCAATCAGTTACAAAATAATAGTCATTATTGTCAACCATCGATTTTTTAACATTACAGCAGAAAAGGTAACTGACTCTTGTAATGGTAGAAAGTGACAATTGAAGTTCGAAAGCTATTGGAATAAGTACGGTCAAATCGACGATGTAACTGGCTTTTATGCAGGAATAATGAATCCATCGACCTGCTAGTGGTCACAGTACATTAGTTGCAGCTAGATTTATTTTATAGTGAAAGTAAATGTAACTCAAGGGATGGTTAATAAATAAGACTTTGAAATTGCATATAATAATATATTTCCATATATATAGATATATATAATTTATACTTATTTACTTACACATACTTATATAGTTAGTTCTCAGTATGTGTATAAAAAGATATTCTATTAGTTATAATAAGGGAGTTATTCTATGTAAAAGGTAAATAATTTTTACTGTATATAAATAACTATGTATGTATTATATCATACATATGCATGATATCGCACCAATTTAAATCTTTATTTTCCACTTCTTCCATGGATCTTCTCTAGAAAGTTTTCAAAGCATGTTTTTAAAATATGATATGAGCACAACTTGATGTACTTTATTGTTATGAACTCATGTACGTAGTTTCTGTATATATATATATATATATATATATATATATATATATATATATATATATATATATATATATATATATATATATATATATATATATATATATATATATATATATAGTTTTTTTTTGAACAAATTATTAAATATTTTATATATATAATACATCAAAACAATAGGTTTGGATTTTAACTTGTAAGCCGCGAAGAAGTCTACTTAGCCAGCTCAAAATTTAGGTGTCACAGTATTTTGGGCCTTATTCAATAGAAACCTAAACTAAAAAAAATCTTAAAAGAAAATTAAATTATAACAGTGAAAATTACAATAATTTCCTTTCAGTGGTTGTTCGAGATAAATGTCAAAGAAACAGAACAGACAGACCCGCGGAAAAATGTATTTGTACATATTTATATTAATTCTAAAGAACAGCAACTTAAAACAGAAGAACCGTGGTCAAGAAAAAGATGGCTGGTGATGGCTACATTGTGTTCCAGATAGAAGTACCTCATCCGGTGATAGTGCCGGTACCGCAGCCATATCCGGTTCGGGTTCCGGTACCTAAACCGGTTGCGGTGCCGGTTATCCGAGAGCTCACCGTACCCATTGAAAAACCTGTGCCTTACCCGGTCATCAAAAAGGTTCCATATCCCGTAGAGAAGCCCGTTCCCGTGCCAGTTGAAAAGGAGGTTAGTTCATCAAGTGCAGGAAATTACCGACCGAATTACCAGACGGGCATTATTCAATAGCTACTAAAATTAATGTGTATAATATCTACACATTTATATAGAATTGTTATAAGTCTTTTAGTTATTCAAAATAATCGGTACGATGTAGATATATAGGGCCTAAGTGACAATACCTACAGTCACGATATCTGTCCAAATATTGTGAATAGTATTGAGTATAAAGGACAGCTTTAAAAAAAAGGCTATAAGGAGTTCAAATGGAAAAAAAGTAAGTCCCGGTATACATTTTTATTAAAAATCTAATAGGTATGTAAGGTACATTTTTTATATTAAAAAGAATATTTACCTATTTATTTTTTTTTTTTACAAAATTCCTTAAATACTAATAACAATTAAAAGTAATCTCCCAACGCACCACACCGAGGCAGCGTACCCAAGATACTGGCAGCATTACCTCTTTGGATTGCCAAACATAATATTAAAATAAATATAAATTATAGACATTTAGTAATATTCAAACCTACCTACGTTCAAATTAATACTACAAGTTGTTGCTTTTATTAAAAATAGGTTTCAAATAATAGAGGATTGTCATTAGACAGTCGATAGCAATAATGACTTTATGTAATGTAGAGGAAAATGAAAAAATTGTCATTAACTAAGATATAATACATATAAGTAAGTGCTGTGCTGCATGTGGTACATATGAGTAAACAAAATATAACTGTTTTAAGTAACTGCATTAATATCATAGCAAAATTAGCAAATGTTCATTTGTTTACCTACTCATGAAACTAAATTCTTTTCTTGTAATATTGACAAATGCATGCATAAAAAAACAACACTTTAATTGTACAGATTTTCTCTTGGTGCTTGGTACGCTTTCTTTATTCTTAAAAAATGTATTAGGATCCACAACGTAGCTCTAAATATTAAGGATAATTTCTCCTCTAACTGATTTTGTTTCAATATTCTTATCTGTACGATTACAATTTCTATTGCATGACTGTAAATTTTTGCGGTTTGTTGAAGAAACAGTTACAATAATATAAATTATTCATTACTTTAGGCATCTCGGATAAAACTGTTACATACATTCTGTTTTAATGGAATTCCAAATTAAATGGTAACTTAAGTTAAATAATGGTAAATTAAGTTTTCTTGAACTTATCACAGAAACTTTCTCTAAACAAATCAAAACACATATCATTTAATCGATTTTATATTTATAAGTACTGCTATTGGACATCAGCAGACTGTCTTATAATCGGTTCCATAATTCATTTGTTTTCATATTCATCAATTTCTATTGAAATAGACTATAGATATTTGAATTTCTGCAGTAAATTTACAGGGTACAGAGGAATAACACCTGAGACCTCAGGAATGGCAACGCATGGGGGATATCATGGGCGAAATAGTATATTCTGTTATGTCCATGGCACTGCTCATGTCTATAGGCGACAGTTGCTACTTTCCATCAGATGGGCCATCAGCTTGTTTACCATTCGTATATATTTTCATAAGTTGCATAAAAAAAAACGTTTCGGATAATAAATGCTCAGGGCCAGTTAGAAGAGAGTTAGGGATTTATTTTTACTTAAGCTTTATATATAAATCTAACTACATTTTTTAAAATTAAATAACTCATAACTAGTACTTTCAGATTAAAGTAAACCATATACTTGTATACTTATTAGAAAAGTTTGTGAAGTTTGTTGGAATAAACATACAAAAACTAATTTATAACATTGTATTAGAACAGTATTTTCGGAAAATGAAGGTGGTTGTTAATGTTTGTTATTTTTATTACTGCATTGATGTACTGCGATGACGCTGTCTATGTGGTCGTGATGATGACGTCATAAACTCTATTACAATATTAAAACAGCATTTAGGTAAGGACAACGCAAAATTATCTAAGCTAACATTTAGTCACCTTAGATAATTTTGCGTTGCAAATGATGTTGAGATGACCAAATTGTTGATGATGTTCGAAAAGTATTATCTATAGAATGTGACTGCAACTATTTTGAAATTGAAAATATATAATTAAATAAATTAATTAGGGTTTTAATATTACTTATATATTATTGAATGTTGAACATAACATCTGACTTCTCTGTGTTTTGATTTTTAATGAAGCCCAGCTATTTGTTTCGTATAATTCGTTATGCGAATGGTATTAAGCATCGCCGGGGAGTTAATTGGATATTTTATTTGATATCAGCCAATTTAGAACTCCTAATTGCCAAGGATTTTTAGAACCTAAGTGTGAAATCCCCATGTCACGCCGTTATTGAAGCCATACGAATAAAGACTTATAAAAAGCATGTCAGAGGGCTTAGAGTTTAACTAAACTCAATACATTCATTTACTTATGTTTAAAATTTTTTAAAAGTGTTGTCACTTACTTCTTGTTTGGAGGGCACATACTAATGACATTGTTTGATTAGGTGTTAGAAACTTTTATACAAGAAATTTTTGACATCACCATAGAATTATAGCATCCCTAAGAGTAGAAGTATATCGAAACCAATAGTTTTTAAATGAGTATATATTATCTATATTTACACAGGTAACGGTTCCAGTAATGCAACCATATCCTGTCCATATTCCACATGTCAGACCCGTGTTCCATCATACAAGGCCGCGTGAAGAATTTGAATCTGATATACCTATTGACGATGATGACGATTATTTCCCTCGCCCAGAAGGCAGCAAAAAGCAAAATTCATACAAGAAAAGACCGAGGAGGTAAGATTGAGATACAACAAAACCAATGTTAATATTGTGTTGTTGACTGATTCAGTCGATATGGGATAGGTACGGTATATAGCTTCCATATTTATGGCGTTTATCAATATGGTGCTTATGTTAGTATGTTCCCTATAGTAAATATTATAAGAGACATTTACGATTCTTATTTTACTGCATTTAAAAATTTTTACATGACTAGATAAAATGATACCTTTACTAGTAAAGTTTAAATTGTTATATATAGAAATAGACGTAGAAATGACTGTACCGTCATGCTGAATTATATTATACGTGAACAACGTAATTTATAATCATCATATATTTTTGTGCAAATGTGCAATATGTATTATGACTTATTACAAAATATTGATCGCGTGCTTACTTTCGTGCGCACTGTGAAGTTCAAAGCCTTATGATAATATTCTGTTTTCAGCACGCGAACCAAAATCCATCGACCAACACGCACTGCTTACAGCACGTACAAGAAAAGGCCGAGACGCCCTGCAGACTTCCGCACCAGAAGGCCATCTTCGACGCACGTCGACTTTCATTATTCAGTACCACATAGACACAGTGATTTTGATCAAGAACAATTTGACGAAACCAGTGATTACTTCTCCTATTGTAAAAGAACTGGAAATTGCTAATCTTAACCCCTTTATGTTTTAAAGGGTCAAGTACTCATCTAAACAATTATAAATTTAATTCATTTCATTATATCTTAATTGGTTTTATCGATTATAACTTAATGAGTATATAATTGGCTCGTGACGTCTGCGTCTGTCTTTAGTTTACAGTTTTTTGTTGTTAATTATGTTTTAATTAAATTAATTTTCGTCTGTTCTTTGTGACGTTTACGTGCCAATATTTGAGTTTCTTTTTATGATTAGTAAATATTGCGCCAGGCATTTATACATGAAACACTTCTTAAATTATAGCATTTGTTGGTTGATACTTTATAGTTATAATAAGGTTGATTTTATATTAGAGATTAAATACTTTTTAAGGATATGTAGTCTTTTAGTTGATACATTTTACCCGTGAAGAAGTTTTATTACTAGTTTATAAATGTAGAGAGATGTAATAACTAGCCTACATTCATACCGTTGTGTTACCTATTTCTTTTATGAAACAACAATGTGTATTTTGTTTTCTGTTTGAAAAGCAGTAAATAGAACAAGAAAAGTAATTAGAACAATCTCTGACATACAGAGGTCTTTCAGACTAAGAGTCAGGAATCTTTGGCTAAGAATGCATGAGTGATGCCAGTATGTTTTAATTTAAATTTATTATAAATTAATTATAATTAAATAATTCTGTATTAGATTTTGCAGAGCACTTAATAGTGTAAATACAGAAATGGAGATCAACGCCCGACCGTGCGGTCTCGCATGGACGGCTGCTTTTACCAACGCTCCGATTAACAACTTTGTGCGTGAGCACTCTTATTACTCTTAAACATGGTATCTAGTTCCCATAGTGATAAATATATTTGTTTATGACATTTATATCAAGGTAGATTAAACAAATTTTCCTGAAATTATATTTAAATTATAATTCAAACATCTCTTTTTATTAAAGTTTTATCTGCCCTTAATTATAACATTGCTGTTACTTAGTTTTGATAGAATGTGAGTTACTATACGAATAAAATACCTACTGCAATCCCAAGAAATCGTGTGTTTCTCAAAAGATAGTGAAATGAGTTCATTTACTTATAATCTTCTTAAAACATTGAATAGGTTTCATAATGAATTCGCATAGGATTTGGATAATATTTTATACTGATATATATATATATATATATATATATATATATATATATATACATCGCGACAACAACTATAACAATAACTATAATTCGAACAAACAATAGAACTGAAAAGACGCTCTAATTAATTAGTTCATTTATTATAAATGTATATGAGAAGTAGGTTTGTAGATCTAGCTGTTTCCGATAGTTTAATTCATCTTTGTAATAGAGATAGTAATATCTACTTACGCTTATATCTTGTGGGAATATAGGCATTTATTTATTGTAATATTTACTATTCAGTCTCACTATCTATAATTTATTTCAGAATTAATTAATTTATCTAAAACAATGCAGGCTGCATTGTTTCAGATAAATTAATTAATTCTGAAGTCATGTCATGGCCTTATTATTGCCAATAATACAATGTTACATTCTTTTGGTTGATTTATAATAATAACTTATTGCCATGTGGTCTTACTTTCTCGTGGGTGTCGTAAGAGACGACTAAGGGAAGACGAATGATGGGCAGCAGCGTCCCTCTTAAAACATCTTCAAAGTCTAAGTGCGATTGCCAATCCGCCTGCAAAGTGTAGCAACTATTAGTAAACCCCCTAAGGACGAGGCTTATGTTCAGCAGTGGACAATTAAAGCCTGATACAATGATGTTGATAGTAATAACTTATAAAGATATATATATGTAACAATGTTTATCAGAGGGAGATTTTGTATAAAACATTTAAAGTCTGCAACGCGCAGGACGTCTCTAGTGTAACAGGCGACCGTAGGCTATGATAATCCCGTTTACATCAGGCGATCCGTATGCTTGTTTGCCACCATGGTAGAAAAAAAAAATCGTCTTTATAGGTACTATATAGCAGCTACTATGTTTCAGTTTATGTGGGGCATGGCAGTGAAATTATAGAATAAGTATGTTTTTTTTTATAGACGATAATGGAATGGCGGCCTCGCAAATGGTATACGCTGACGGGGCACCAACGAGGTATGATAGGTGAGGATAAATGATAAAAAGGCAGGTTAATTAGTCCATCGTGATGAATACACCTGGAATTTAGCACGATGATTCCAGATCGACCTCCGCATGGTTCCTTGTGAAAACCGTCGTAGTACAATTGTAACGTCACGATGAACCAACAGTCCCGACTCTATCCTCTTCATCCCTCATTAATGCCTCGTTAGTGTATACCGATAGCGCGAGCATTTAAAAAATAAAAACAAATGATTGTTTTATTTACGTAAATTTTTATAGATAGAATAAGTTATTGTTTAAAAGCATAGTATCTTATAATGACGTTTGAATTATCTGATCTTACGATTGATTCTGTGTAGAAATATATGAATGAATTTATATTTTTCTTCGTAAACTTTTATATTATTGTTTCTTAAGAAATATATATTTAATTAATAACCAAAATACCGCTGCTATTCCTACCATACCTATCTTTAAGTAACGATAGGTATGACAATTTCCATTGGGAAATTGGAGTAATTACGAGCAAATTATTTCAATTATCTACTCATGGATTTAGCTATAGGGATATGACAGCATTTTTAATACGACTGTAAAGATTCATAGTTGATGAATAGTTATCTAGGTAAAGTAAATAATTTTCTCAAGGCTCTTAATAATTTACTGGATACCAATGAGAATTTTTCCTTAATGCAATAGTTTGTATTGGATTATTAAATAACAATTTTATTGAGGATCAAAGTAAGCAACTTATATAATATTACGATAATGAAATAAAGAAAATTTAAGAGTGAATTGACCGCCTTTTTCTACATATGAGATTTGGTAAGGTTTCTCTTACTTAAAACTTACGTAATAAATTAAAGAAATTAATGAAAAGTTTTACTCTCCATTATTTGACCTATTTACTAGCTTCATTTAGAAATAAAAATATTACATACAGCTACGAGAATAAGTTATATAACATTTTGAATTTGTTTTAAAAATATTGAAATTTAAAAATTTTATAATGTTACACAACATTAACAAATTTGTTATTAGTTACATCTTTCGTTGATTTTAAACAACGAAACTACTCGTATTTTAGAAAAGTATTTTTATACTATTATAATTATTTATTTGTAATAATAAATTGGAATTATACAATCTGGCAAACTGAGAAATATAACTTACTTCATCATCATTTCAGCTATTATCCGTCCAGTGCTGGACATAGGCCTTCCCTGTAGACTATCAAATGAAACGGGTCTGAGCCATCTGCATCCACTGACTCCCTGCAATGCATTTGAGGTCGTCATTCCATCTAGTGGAGGGTCGTTATACACTGCGTTTGCCCGTACGGGGTCGCCGCTCAAGAGAATTTCTTCAGAACTTATTAAATATATATAATAAATATAACTTATTAATAAGTTCTATAGCTTATAGAAGAAGACTTTTAGGGTTGACGCATATAGCTGCCAATAATGGGCTCTGAATTAGTCTGTTGGTAACGTGAGTTTGTTATGATGAAGTTTGGCCCAAATTGTGGGTAATAAACCAATATATTAATTAAATTTATAAATACTAAGTTTTTACTTATAGCACTGTCAGAACATTAAATGACCGCTTATAATTTTCTTATTTCCACCTATAAAGACGTATTTTCTGTTATCAAAAATTTCTATTGTCAAATAAAACAAAGCATTGATATTCCTCTTTCTATCAATATTTTTTTTTTATATAAGATAAGATATATTTATTTAACAATATATCTGCGTAAATTTTTTTTTCCTTTTATATTCAATTGCCTGTGAGAAAACTTATCGCAATAATACACTTATATGCTCCTTTAATATTGCTAATATTGGTTATTTATGCAAGTGCATTAAGTGTACATACTGTAACGGAGACATAAAATCTATAAATAGCTGGTCGACAACTAAAATATCGAATTAATTTATTGGTGAATCTATTGTTTTATACAGACACAGAAGTGTTGGCTTGATAATTATCTAAACCAGTAAAGTGCTAATACTTAGCGATATTTGGAAATAGTATTTGGTGTATTCATCATCATATCAGGCTTTAACTGTTCACTGCTGAATATATCACATGCCTATCCCTGGGGGGGTTTTACTAGTAATTGCCATATTTGGCAGGCGATTTAGTGTATTGCTGGTGCTTAATTTATTAATCGTTCATTGAATATATAAAACAATATCATTTTACACTATTTTATTTTTATAGTTAATAATTTTTATAATCTATTATTATTTCTTGAATTTATGTGCTAACTACAATCTCTACAATGTAGCGAGGTCAATAAATAATAAATTAAATTTATGGACATGTAAACATTAACTTCTTAAATGTGAAATTAACATATTACTGATCCGACTTTGATAAAATTTTTGTGGGATCACTCTGAAAGAATATACTTTCAAATAAACGGGAATTTTCCAAAACGAGTTGCAACTAACGATGTTATGGGGTAACAAACAAAAAAAAATCTAACAGAATTGAGACTCTCTCTATAACGACTTAACAATAAAGAATATGTTTTCGAAAGATTGTTTTGATCTGAGAACTGGGTTCTGGTCTCTCCTTATTATAGAGAGATACTGGCCTATTAACCTTACGTAGGACAGGTGGTTCGGAATAATATTTAATTATTTTATATTATAGTATATGTGGTTTTATTTAGAATTTTCCTTCTCTAGCATTGACGTCTGATGCATTATTATCTTAGTAGGTTTTCCAATATCTTGAGATTAAAAACAGCGGTGACAAATAATTACACGGATAACCATAGGCAAAAATCTTTTCCTTTCATCGCATCAACGTTAGTGTTAGGCTTTTAGTGATATAAATATCATTTAGTTTGAGAGATTATACTCATATAATATTAATAAGAATTAAAACTTGTATCAAACGTTGCACTGGATAACCTTTTTTTATATTGTAATTAACCTTTTTTTTATATGTATTTACCATTAACTATCGATATTTTAATATTATATAAATATACAAAATTAGGATGAACTAATAAAATAAACGATTAGTAGTTATCTAAAGCTGCAGGTTTCTTTTTTTATTGAATTCTTTCGATAAAATAAATAATTGAAGAACTATTTCTTCAAATAGAGTAAAGAAAGCTGCAACGGGATCCTTCAACCAAATTGCAATTACTTTTAATAGTAGAACAAACGAACAATTAAAACAGAGGTCATGGCCAGTGGTTACTGCTCACGAGTTGTTTGGTTTCGACTTTTGTTGTTTTTGGCCACAGATGATACCTTTCCCACAACTACGCAAGGTCTTTTTTTATACTACTTAGAATAGCAAACAAGCTGACGGCCCACCTGATGGAAAGTGGTAACCGTCGCCTATAGAAATGAGCGGTACCATGGACATAACAGAGTATACTGTTTCGCCCATGATACCCCCCATGCATTGCCATTCCTGAGGACTCAGATATTATTCCTCTGTACCCTGTAAATTTACGCCATATCCCACCCTTCAAACAGAAACACAGCCATGCTAACATAACTGCTTTATGGTTGAAACACGAATGGGACAGAGGTACCCAAGCAATCGACTTTTGTACAAAGTCTTTCTCTGGTCTCACACTCGCCTTTTATTTGATGAGATTTTTTTATACCACGAAGGTGGCAAATAGAAACACAAGCCCCTGATGGTAAACGGTCACTATGGACGCATGAAACATTAGAGTAGGAGGGAAAGGGATTGTTAGTAATGGAGACTGAGAATCCCATTACTAGTAATATACCCAACCAGGTCGACCTCGCCGCGGTTCTCCCTGGAAATTATCATGGTTAATTTCTGATGAATTCATCATGATTATCTAACTGACCTGTTTTCATTCATCTATCACCCTTCACTGGTGCTCCGCCAGCGTATCCCGTTAGCGCAGGCGGGGTTACCATACCATTTTCACCCATAAAAAAAAAACAAAAAAACACTAGAGGTATCATGTGCACGTTTCTGACCCTAAAGAAACTTTAGTATACCTTTTTTGAAGAACCCCATATTGTAGTTTGTAAGGAAAACACACAGCCTGAGTGTTCGCGGGAGAAACTCAAGTTCAAGCATATGAAGATGAATTCTCTGTCGATGGCGAGCAATGCGATGAAAAATGGTGGCTGTGAGTATCATTTCGAACAACCCATTATATAAGTGGTAGAACACACAAAAGAGGCAAAATCTTGGCTTAGTATTAAGGGCTTGATATCGCCTGTGAGTTTGAAGATTTTTAAGATCGTAAAGTATAGTACCTTATTATGGGATTTTATATTTTAGCTAATGTACGAAAAAAATTACCCATCACTAATTTTAAAAAAACAATAAAAATATATATGGTACACACTTAAAAATAATAATCCTTGTAATATAATGATGATTGAAAATGAGACTGCCAGACAGATATTGATTTAAAACTTCATTCAAACCCATTCACCTATGTGATTAAGTAACGTACATCCAAATATCTATATTTAATAACTTTCACATTTATTATATCAGTAGGAGTACGATTAGACACGCATGCCAAATTAACCGCGAATATACAGGAAAGGAATATACATCTTTTAATATTAATTTTGTCCATGACCTTTCTTAATAATAATAAAATGTATTAAAATCAATATAAGTAATTGTAGTGCAAACTAGAATTTAATCTTGACTAATTTCCGATATAAAATACTTTACTTCGATGCTAAGACTACAGAAATATATTTTAGGACTTAAGACAAATTTTCACAGTCATAGCATTGAATTAATATTTGACATATATACTTGCCTAATTCTTGTTGTTATGCTTATTATTTATATCCAGTACACTTTAAGTTTTTGCATTAACGAGAAGTAGGTGATTATTAAAACGAGGAATAAAATGAATGCAATTAATAAGTATTTGTAATTATTATTAATAATAATTTATTTTGTAAAACAAAATCACAAGAGCACAGTTAATGCAATAAATAGGTGAGTCAGCGAAAATAATACATTTTGTCAACGGACATTTGGACATCCCATTTGTTAATTATCATTGTCATTTTGGATGGGTATTCCAAGTGATTTGTGAAATTAACGCATTAGTGTGTATCCACTGAGCGGATGTACCGATCATGGAATGTAAAACCTTGAATTAGCTACGGCGAATTCACAACATAGCACCCATGCCCCCGTCCTATTTGAGTCTACATAAGTGACAGTATGCATTATCGTGTCATTCTATTGATCACAATAGTACTGTTGCTCAACTCTGGCTTCGTTTGATATGACATCAATTTTTACATTTTGACCAATTATTAATTTTTATCTTCAAAAAAGAAAAATTGAAGGCCTGTTATTAATTCAGTAGACATCAAAGCCATAACTAGAGGTGAAAGACGAGTTTTTATACAATTTAGATTGTCAAACGTTATAACAATTTAATGGTTTGATATCAAATTTGAAAATTTGAACTGAATACCTATTACTTATTGTCAGCACTCAATATGTAGTATTAATGTAAATTTAAGTAAGTAAATAGTAAAATAGAATAGAAGTGCCTATCCTAATAAAAGTTATTAACATTAATTAAAAAAAAAACCACAAGAGACATTTAGGCAATCTTTATAAAAGTCATCACTATCAGGTAATTGATATTAATAGAATATTATTTAATTGAAAGTAACAAACTTCAATCATTAATGCAACTAAGTAGATTCATGAATATAACAGTGTCTTGTATAATCCGTTGACTGTACAAATAAATTTGGTTTTGATCTGTGACAAACAGATAGATAATTTTTTTTGACAATTTATATAGTCTATATATATTTAGTATTTTGTTTTTCTGTGAATTTAGGCAAAAGCGGGCACGCAACGCGTTTTTTCAAAGTATTATGTATACACATATAAAAGCTGCCAAGACCTCGAACTGTTTAGTCTGAGAGCGCGGCCCCGTAGAACCGGTCGCCCGATCCATTGGTTGACTCTCAATCACTGCACGTAAGTCGTAACTTATGTAGTGCATGCATTAAACCTCGCTTTCAACACCTAGGAGCGTCCATTCAATAGAACTTGTGATTACAAAACTTTTTAAACGTGATGAAGGTGATTCACGTCACTTATCTTTATATTTATGTCAATCTTTTCAATCGTGACAGAGTGTAGAGTCGATTGCAATCGATAAATTGTCCTTTGTGATTATTTCATTGTAATATACATTTGTACGGAGGCTTTTATCGCCTTTAGTTCCGTTATGTACTCCATAATTACAGGTTTTTACTGTTTGATTATCGATTAGTTTAATAGTCGTATAAATGTATATAAAATAATATATTTTAATTAAATAATGTGTTTCCTGTGTTGATGTTTATATAACTAATTGGGTACCCTTGTCCTTGAATGGGCTTCTTGTGACTATAATAATAACTTTTGCAGTAAATATCCTTGAAAATATATTTATAGAAATTGCATAAATTTTGTTTTGGTCAATGTCTCTGTAATTAATCGTGAATGAACAGAGAGAAATATTATATGGTTCAGGTATTAATTTTATATTTGCATGATTGTCAATGATAACGGTAGACGAGAAATCTAGCAATCAGACAAAAAGTCTTGTCGCCAATCTGATCACTATAATACAAAAGTACGACATATTTTTATATCTACCAACATTGTGGTTTCATAAATTATCTTACCTTTAATAGTTTCAAGTTATTGAGGAAAACTTAACTTCTTTATTGTATGAGGCAAACCAAATTTTAAAAAAGAACAGTTTAACCGTTATCAACCAGTAAGATATTTATAGGAATGTCCTCGCCTGCACTTATTTATCAAAAAATTACGTGGGATGTTAAAAAAAAGACGGTCAAGTGCAACTCGGACTTGCACAATGAGGGTTTCGTACAAAATCATAGTTTTTTTTTTTGGGAAATAATTACTAATTAACTGTTTTCGGGCTTTTCCCATTGCTTGTGCTACATGATATTGTCTCTTGCCAAATTTCATGATTCTAGGTCAACGGGAAGTACCCTATAGGTTTTGATTCCTTTTGCGAATGTCAAAATATACGATAGAAATGGAACATAAACGATTATATTTTTTCATTGCTTTAAGATATTGCAGACTTAAGTATATGATATTAATTTCAACTCGATATCTTCACGCGTTCCTAAGAAAAAGGGTCTTCACAGACGGACGGACGGACAACGAAGTGATCCTATAAGGGTTCCGTTTTTTCTTTTGGAAGTCCGGAATCCTAAAAATACGCGGCACGAGTTGTATAAGTCCCTAAAGTATATAATAATTATTTTTTTAAAATAAATATAAACATTACAAAATAATTAAACAAATATATACAAACAACATTATAATAATTATTGATTTATTAGAGATTAATATATTACATACATAAAATGAGTAAGTAGATACAAATAGTTTGTTAAATTTATAATATTAACTAGTAGAAATATATAGTACAAATAACTAATTATATATCTAGATTAACTATCTCTTCTATTTAGATATTTATAGTTTATGATTATTATGCAATTAGTTCATATTAATTAAAAATTTATTGAGAAACATAGATGGAATTACATTGTTAAAATACTAAGTACATAAGTCCGTTTATTTTTAGTTTACTTTTATATTTTTATACTAAAAAAATATACTTTTAGATTCAACAAATTACTGTAAACCCAACAACAAATTACATCATACTATATTAAATAAATATAAATAACGTATTATTTATTTAAAAGTCTTTTTTAAATTACACTCTTCATGATCATTAAGTATATTGTTTTCTATCGATCCCATTTTTTGTCTATAGGTATCAAATAAATTTGAGACCTATGGGAGGATTTAATGTTTTCATGGCAAGACACATTTCATATAAAAAGCATGTATATCCAACAAAGTTTATTGTTATAAAAATAAGGATTGTCGGAACTCTAAAAAATGAGAAACGTACTACCTAGAAAATAAGTTGGTTCAACTGATTATCCAAATAAAGCTTTCGACGAATTCGTGCATGTCAATTTTTCTACGAATTTTATTAAGGATCATTCTCACACAGTCAATTGAAGTAAAGTAAATTTTTTGTTAGTACTTTATATATTTGTTTATACTGAATTGATATTGATGATTATTTTAGACGAGAAGATATACACCGGTACTGTATAACTTTTCGACAAAATCTTAAATTTTTGTCTTGATGTTGTATTTTTAGGTATATTGTAACGCAAAAGATGTATTAATTACTGTAGAAAGAGAATAAAACATCTGTTTAATCTGACTCACTTACGATATAGGTATTTATAACAATTAGCTCAATATTTGTTTTCTTGTAGGTAACAGTAAAGTAAATGTATTAAATACCAGTTAAATATGTAGTCTATAATGTTGTAATATATCCCCTAGCTTAATATTAGGTTTAAAGATAGCAATATATATTTGTGCACGCTCTTTAAACATTATTTACTTCATTTATTTGCACTTATAGTAAGTAATCCAGATTTTACATTAAACACATTGATAAACAAACTTATTAAAATCTATAATTTTAATTTAGTAAATAAAAGTTACATTTATAAGTTTAGGTATTAATCTCTAATATTATTTATTGAATGAAAAATTTGAATTGGGTGGGAATTAAACCGCTTGAGTATTGGCTTATTTAAGAGAATTTTCTAGGAGTGGGGTGGGAGATTTATGAATAGATACGTATGTATATGTAATAGACATTTAGACATGTCTTTCTGACTTGTCTGAAAGCTCCGCTCCTGATTCTGATTCCTCGTGAGCACGACCAGCATTCCCCTCTTTATATCTATGCGGTTGAACTATTATTTCATCGACAAAACCGAGTAATTTTATTAATTTATTTAATATATAATTAAGATATTTGTGTATTTATCCTTAGATTCAATTACAATAGGTATTTCAATGCTCAGAATTTTTACTTACAGTTTAAGTAATTATTTTTAATAAAGACATCCAGTAGGTACATCTCGTGATGTTGTAACATGGTAATGACAGTATTGTGAAGCAGAGTATCTCAAACTGCATTATAATAGTTTGCTCACGTTTTTGCGGATGACTTGTGATCTTTTTATGGAGAAACAGGCTGGGGTGCAGCTCAAAGATAGTAGCTAGTAACAAACTCTTCCTTATCTCAGATCAGACTCGTTATGCAGGTACTCGGATTGCTTGGGAACTATGACAATGAATGTTATACAACACATTACAATTATTAAAGGCCGTTTGTAAGTCAAAGCAGAGATTTCATGCCTAATTTAAAATAAACACTCAGTCCAGTTTTTAATTTTAAAACCGATTACTAATCACTGTCCAAAGGTCTTTGAGTGTCTTACCTTTAAAAATTGACAACATTTACCTACTTATTTGCTCTTTTAATATTTTTGGGTCATATTATGATCAAAAGAAAGATACTTTTAGTAAAGCATAAATATAGCTAGATTACTAAAACGTGTATCATTATCATTACTTTTAAAAGAAAAATGAGATTAGTAAAATAGGCACACAAGTGATTACATAGATTTTATTGAATGTGTTCATTTTTTATTCAAAGTGAATGGTAAGCAAGGACTCGTTTAGTCTCGAATTAAATTTGATTTCTCCTTCACATACCTACTTGTAACTATTTTCTATTAACAATACATTTAATTAATAATAGTAACTTTTATTAAATTATATTTTTAAAAATTTAATTTGACGATGTATAAAACCATTTCGTTGTAACCTTTAATTTACTTATCGGATTGCAATAAAACTTAACCATTATTGTTTTGTATATGGAGCATGTCTAAAATATTTTGTTTTGTTTTCATAGTGTTAATAGGTAGTTAAACTATGCGTATGATATTGCCTTAAATTTTTTTATACATATGTATATGTTCGATAACCACACTAAAACAATTTGAATAAAAAAAATATAATCGATCTATAATTATCGTGATAATAGCATTTTAATTACAACTTACTGTATAAACTATTCATTGTTAATTTTAGTTTTAAAATAGTGTAGTGAGCGTATTAGCTATATTAATTAATGAGCGATTCTTAAATAATGAATGACTAGATAAAGAATAGGTGTGATTTTTTTTTCAATTTTCGAAATTATTTGGTCATTTTCTTTTAATTTTAAGAACAATATCAAATATTAGGTGTACTCTATCTTTAGGTATTCTATATTTAGGTATTTATTTCAACTGTTTTTAGTCATTTTTAGGTTATTAATCTTAATAAATTTCTAAAGTTATTACTGACCACTTTTTTGCCCGCTACTTCGTACACACTTTTTAATGAATTTATATTACAATGAATTAACATGAATAGATACAAAAAGTGACAAAATATTATTGAAAATGTATATGTTATTATGATGGAATTATTTTAATTTTTTGTTTAATAAGGATTAATATTTGCACGCCTACAGCGTGGCAGAATAAAATTGGACTATTTGTCTTGTAAAGCTAACAATTTTTTTCTAAACCTATAAAAATGTACCTTATTCCAGCAAATAAATGATTTCAATTTCAATTTCACATTAAAAGTAAAAAAAAATAATGAAATATACCACTTCTAGAAGATATATCAAGATAAATTATATCACTTTTTAAATTAGAACTTCAGGAATACAATTACCAGAGTGGGAGTGGCAGTGAATTTACAGTGTACAGAGGAATAACACCTTAGTCCTCAGCAATGGCAATGCATTGGAGCATCATGAGAGAAATAGTATACTCTGTTATGTCCATAGTACTGCTCATGTCTATAGGCGACGGTTACCACTTTCTTTAGATGGGTCGTCAGCTTACTTGACATTCTAAGGTGCATAAAAAAAAAATACAACTGTGAACTGCATTCAATTTCGTGCAGTAGTCGTTGCATAATGTCTTGAACAGATACATAGACAGACAAACAATATTTCTAAAAAATATTGATTTGGCTTCTATTGTTCTTTTTAAGACTCCTTAGACCATTTTTTCTTAAACATCTTTCATATACAGACATCGTCTAGTTACAATTTTATTACATTAGTAAAATACACAGCTAAAAATAATTTTAATTAACCTACTATTAAACAAAAATACCCATTAGTATTGTAGGATCGATCTATTCGATTTAGAAGTACAAACGTTATATAAATAAACATGGAACAAAAAATTGATGACCTCCTTATTGTTTTTTTTTTGTGGTCGTTTAACTACGGCATCGTGAGAAGTAAATCTTAAAAGACAAATTTGTTCTAATAATCAACCTGATATCCGTATATACAATACTTGTAAGTACATTATTGAATTAGGTATATATTTTCAAGGATAATTATAAACATGAGTAACATTGCATGACAACACAAAATAATGTGACGCCTATGGTACTCTTTATGCTTTTTCATTTTTGAAGATCAAAGTTTTATAAGCTTCTATATGACCCATTCATTTAATTGCTAGAAAGCAGTAGATCTAAACCTATTTCTCAACCTAATATTTAATTTGATAGTTTCGTGAAATTACTGTTTTATGGATAGTCATAAACTAAATTTATAACAATTTTGGTTTAAATATATTAAAAATTTAGTTCGTTATAAAATTGAAATTTTAAGTTTAGAGATTGATTTAGAAAAGAAAGAAATAGCGATCTATAGCCGAATTCAACGTTTGGCGGTAAAAATACAAATGTAAAAGAAGTGCCTAATTCAAAGCTTTATAACAATATAAGTATAAATATGAAAGTGTTCTGTCTGTTTGACTTTTATTTTTATGCATAAAATTTTAGAAAAAAGTTATTTACATATAAAGGATTTGGTTCGTCAGTACGCCAAATTAAATTATATCTGTTATATAAGCTTTTGAAATTTTATTTCTGAATAAAAGGAAATTTCGCAAAAGCATACTAATTGATGAGTTACGTGTATTATTAACAATTATTATATATAAACTCTTATCTTGTTTACCTCGAAATGACTCTAAAATCAATGTACTCTATAGTACGCAGAAATACTTGTACTTATATTAAACATTGTTTCTGAAAAAGAATAGTAATTACTTTTTTAATTCTCTATAAAGTTGTTGCAATAATTAGCTATGTGCAAAAGTATTCAAAATTTTTTATTATTGTGTATATTTATTCACATTTTATTGCCGACATTAATTTATAAATTAGGTACTCAATTTATAATTAAAAAGTTACAAAACAGCACCGAAGTTTTTAGGCGTAACGAAAACAATTTATTCAGGTACTTAACAAATTTTGTAATACAAAATTTTATTTTATATCTAATTGAATGAAAGTAAAAATGTTAATTAAATGCATCCGAAGTGTGTAGAGCGGCAAGGGTAGAGACTGTGGCAAGTCACGAGTTATGCCGCAATTCAAGGCCCCCCGGTATTGAAATGTGTCAATTCGTAGATCTTATAGTAAATACTCTATTAATAATCCCAGTATCCCAATGAGAATTTCAAGAATTTAAAATTAGCATATTTTACATATACATTAGGTATCTTTGCTGCTACTTAATGGAACCGTTACGTTTCGACTTTATTCTATTCTGCGCTATGTCTTGAATTAACTAGTAACGTTATCGATTTGAAATTTAGAGCAGTTTTAGTATTATTATTTATTACAAAAGACTGCAGTAAAGAAAGGAGTCTTTCTTGCAAAAGAAATAATATATATATATATATATATATATATATATATATATATATATATATATATATATATATATATATATATATATATATATATATATTCGAAATTTCAAAATAGGCCTCCGAGTGGGCTCTTTAAGTGGATATGCATTCAGCAACGTTTAAAAATGTATTTAAGTAATATTTACTAATCTGTATAAAGATTCTATTTCTAGAAGTAACTTAACGTGACAAAAAACAAGACATTAGTATTTTAATTAACCAGTCAGTTATTATTATTATTGCATAAATATAGTTAGCCTTTGTTGACAAAAAAATCTAAGTTTGAAATAGTGCCTATTTATCTTTGGGTTTTCCTAAATAGTTTCTGATTTGATAGAAGCCCGAAATTAGCCAGGCAATCTTGAATATAAATACATGAATAAAGCTGATATAAAATTACTATAATTTGGAATGATTCACTCATGTAGGTTTAATACGGTTTGAAATAACGTCACACTTCAGTAATAGGTTTCTTAATAAACTTTACTTGGAGAATCACTATAGGTACTAGGAGAATTATAACCATACTTATACTACAAGTACCACGCGAGCTAATGGGCTCAGATCAGAAGGGAGAAGGAATCATTAGTTTATTAACAATTCAACAAACATCCTATCAGGTTGACCTCCACGCGGTTCCTCCTGGAAACCGTCATGATTAATTATTTTTGAATTCGTTACGTTGCGCTAACTGACCTGCTTTTATCTTTAGCTATTATCCTTCACTGATACTTCGCCAGTGTGTTATCATTCCATTATCACCTATAATTTTTATTTTTTTCTCCTGCTCTGCATTATGCCTCTAAACTCGATTCTTGTGAAATCCATTATGCCACGGATAATATCTCATCTTTAGATTTTATTATAATTCAATATTTTTATTTTAGATTCGAAATGAGGGCATTAAGTGTTATCGTCGTCCTTGCATTGGCATCAGTATGTAAAGCAGCTCTTCCACAACTGCGATTTGCATGGAAACAAGTAGATTACGCTTGGGAAACGCCCGCCGATCGTGATAAAGCTATTAAAGATGGCACATTCGTACAGTACAACAACTTTCCAGTAGGGTTAGCCCGTTGGAAAAACAAGCTGTTCATTACAGTTCCAAGATGGAAGAATGGTGTAGCTTCTTCCTTAAACTATGTAGATCTGGACGGCCCCACAGACCAGCCGCTGAAGCCATATCCATCGTTCAAAGATAATTTGGTTCCTGACAATGCAAAGATGCTGCCATCGAATAGTTCCGTGATCTCAGTATTCAGAGTGCATGTAGATCCGTGCGATAGACTTTGGGTTATGGATACAGGACTTGCCGAAATAGCAGGTGAGAGAGATATATAAATTTTGTATAACATTTGTCGAAGTATTTATACGAAAAGGTTATACATACTGAATGTATAACCTTTTCGTATATTTACTACTCCTCTTGTTCTAGCCAGAAAATAAAAACAAAAAACTCACATAAAAAATAAAATCTTTTATTTTGTTGTTTTTATTGTTTTCTTAATGCTTTGCTAAATTTACCTAAAATGCAAAAAAAAATAGTCTATAATATAAGCTAAGTGTTTTAAAATTAGTGTGAAACTTTAGTATCCTATCATATCGTTTTGTGGCTTGAACCCACATGTTCGTAATTTCTACGCCATAAAATGAAATAGTGATTTCAAATAATAATAACTATTATTTTTTAGGTTCAGCAAATCAGATTGTCGGACCATCTATCATGATATTCGATTTGAACACTGATCAACTGCTACATCGGTACTTCCTCAAGTTGTCTGATATGAAAGAGGATACCTTTTTTGCCAATATTGTAAGTACATAATTCTATTTTAATATGAAAACTAATTATAAGTTTATTTATTTTTATTTATGTACTTTTTAGTGCGCCAATTAAAGAACAATACAAAGATATATATATATATATATAGAGGTTTTGGTAATAATTATTATATTAATAGAGGTAGTGATATAAATATGTATCTCTACTTACATCGCATTTAACGTTTATGGTGCAGTTTATATTTAAATATTAACGGTTACCACTTTATATCAGGTGAGCGGTCAGTATGTAGCCATTTAATACTGCTCAAAAAACTTGATTTCACCCTTTGCTAATTGTTTTGTTAGTTAAGACAGTTATGTAAGAATATATCTAGATATTTATAAAACGTTCTAATAGCATTATGTATAAAATAATTAAATTCATAGAACGTGCAATCCAATTTGCTGGATAAGTACATAAATTTAAGACATTGCCTGTCCAACATAAATTGTAATTATAATTAAAATATTTATCGCATAACATTGTTCTTCCAATATTACATTACTCTACGGTCTATATATTAACATTACTCTACGGTCCAAGTAACGTAAGACTGATTTAAATGCCATATAAGCAAATAACTTTGGGCCAAATATTTTTTGTCATGTTTTTACTTTAATTTCTAATTTTTTATGTCATGTTTTTACTTTAATTTTAATTCATTATATTATAGTTACATTCGTTTTATTATTACATTAAAAAGTTATATATCTATAAAAAAAATTTAGATTTTTCTCTATAAACTTAAAATAAAAAATAGGAACCATTTACCAATCTTAAGACATAGTAAATGTTAAAGATTAATGTGATTTTTATTATTTTAATTATTATGATTCTATTTATTAAAAATTACTGTTTAGTAATTATAATAAAGATAAATAAAAACTTTATTTCAAGAAGTCGTCCGAGAAAGGACAGACAAAAATGTATATGGACATATATAAAATTAATATACATAGGTATCTATAAATGTATTAATTTTATAGATGGCCATAATTTTTTATTTATATATATATACTATATGTAATATACTAATTTTAGCAGTTTGATTTAACAAAATGACCAGTTATTAAATATTTAGTGTAATACCTTAGAAAAAACAACTTATTTTCTATTTTCAGGTTGTAGACGTAGACAAAGATACGTGTGACAATGCATTCGCATATTTGTCTGACTTGGGAGGTTACGGAGTGGTCGTCTACAGTCTGAAACAGGATGACTCATGGCGTGTGTCCCATCATTACTTCTTCTTCGAGCCATTATTTGGTTCTTATAATGTAGCTGGCATCAAGTTCCATTGGACCGATGGTGTGTTTAGTGTGGCATTGTCAGAACCTAGGGAGAACGGGTGAGTGAACGAATGACCTTAGTTACTCAGCCTTTATTAGAACACGTACGATCGGAGATAAAAAATAACTGTGGGCTTGCAAAAACGTACATTTAGTCGATTTGAGCTATTATTATAACGGGCCTTCTATTTTATTATAGGTATCAAACTATAACATAATATTTAATGTGGGAGTCGTAGTTATTTCTTTGAAATGATAAAACTTACCTACTACAACCTCTGGCCATATTTTAAACTTATTACCGTATATAACTTTTCCTGAAGGGTGTTGTAGCATAAAGAGTATTGAAATATAGATTTATTACTACAAAGAAAAAATAATAGACGTACTTACCTTATTATATAGTAAAATCATAGCTCTCTAATCTGTTTCGTTAACGGTCAAATAATTTGTAATCATATATTTACATATTACATTATTGGAATATTAAATAGAGTTTAACCTAATAGACTTGGCAAGAGCTATATTATTATGATGAAGCTAACGAAATTATATAAACAAGAAATATTCATTGACCCACAAACAAGACGACGTCGTGAGTGAACATTCATCCTCCTTAAAGTTCCAACATGATTTTTAACTTACTTTATTATGATTATTATATTTACATATAAAAGAAATAATATTTTTTTTTTATTTCGCGAGTTATTAGTGTTCTGGCATGGATAGTACCATTCATTTACTTTTAACTTTTAAGAACAATGACAGATTGATAAACTGTATTACAGAAACTTGGGGGTTTGCGACAATTATATAATCTTGTTGCATCATAGTAGAATAATAATATGTCACGTTCGATTTTTATACAGACTGAGATGTAGCTATATTCATCAATAAAAGTTAATTGCGACATAGCGTTCCTAAAATTTAATTGATTTTTAATATTATATAAATAATAAAAAAAATATTAAATATTTACATAGTAATTTATGGAAAAATAATCTTAAAATTTTGCTCTACACTTTGTTATACGAATAGCACAAATCGGTTAAATGTTTGAACTTCAATTAACCAGAATTATTAAATTTGCTTATTATTTTCATTCAAATAATTATTTTAAGCGGGAATATGAATATTTTTTACAACCATATACAGATTCACGGAAAATGTTGTTAGTAGACAATCGCATTTTCAAGGATTTTAGATCACTCGAAAGGTAACGAATACGGCTACTACCTATATAACGATATAAATGTATTAATAGCTCAAGTCAACCTTCTACAGTATAGATTAAGGATAGTACTCTCCCTTATATGGTGACCTATGTATATATTTTTGATAGCAATCCATTGAATGTTATTTTACCCTGTTAATTAATGTCAAAAATCCAATTTAAATTGGATTGAGCTTAGATATTGTTGTAAATATTTGATTGAGTATAATTACAGGTTTCAATTTACATTACAGATATAGAACAGCATTCTTCCATGCAATGTCCAGTACAAAAGAATTCTGCGTATCCACAGAGTTGTTACGGAATTATACAAAACTAGACAAGACTGAGGCATTCCATGATTTCAAGGTTCGTTCAATACACTCCCTTGATAATATTGAGACTGATTTATTTGAACTATGCAATTATCGTAGATCTTGCAATTAATTATCTATCAGAGAAGTACTGTGATCACAAAATAAAAAGTAAAATGCAAAAAGTAGATTTTTCCAAAAACTATGAAAGCCTGCGATTTGTCAATGTACACTATTATATTAAATAACCAAGCGTATCCGAATTTAAAATATTTTTATTTATAATTTACCTTTAATTTTTGGTACACAATTAAACATGGTGAGACATTAGTGCTCTTCGTATTGACATTAGTTGTACAAATAATATAACTAAATCAACAAAAATATCTATTTTATAAAAGCAGTTTATGCAATCAAATATACAACATATAAATAATTTCTTAAAACTACTTTATTATGGCATGAAGTCACTTTACGTTTGTATTACAAATTATGCTTATATTACAAGTTAAATTATTAATAGGTATGATTTTATGTGTTTTCAGCTGTTGGGTGACCGAGGAGATAACACGCAATCTTCTGCTAGTTCTTATGACGAAAAAACAAAAGTGCTTTTTTATACACAGGTATGTATTAGTAAGTGAAAAATGAACACATAATTATGTAATAAGTACATTGACAGTTAAATTAATCCTTCTAACATTATGAACATTAAAGTGTATTTGGATTTTAGATTTAAGTATAATATTTAGGGTGGAGAAGGATATAAAAGCAACATGTATCCTGGTCAGTCATTATCATCATAATATCAGCCATTAACTGTCCACTACTAAAATAGGTCTCCCTTTATTTTGGGTTTGCCAGTAATTGCCATACTTGGTGGGCGGGTTGGCTATTGCAGTTAGCCTTTGATGATATTTTAAGATGGTCTCTGCTTACCATTCTTAAACTATTATGTTCCCTTAATCGCTTCTTATGACATACACGAAAAAGGAAGGGATAACCCATTCTAAGCTGGGATATCTATCAATTAATATAATATCAATCAATACGGATCAATCAATAAAATATTCGGAAACGAAGGCGAAATTGCAGCAATAATATCAATAAATTAGACTGATATTATATTTGTCGATAATTAGAAATAAATACTAGAAAATTGTTATTAATTTAGTTTTAGTTTATTAGTTGCCATCATTCAATTCATTTTAATTATATTATATTCGCTGTTCATAATTTTCATATAACAATGTTTATGTAATTGTCATGAAGTGAACGGTATATTTACTTGTTCTTGTATGTTCGGTTTCTTAATGATATTTAACCTTCAATCCAACGTTGCCGATGACAATCTGATGAATTAATATGTACATAATTAATGACTAAAACTATAACACAATAGACTTTACGAGTTTAGAATAACTAGATATTTTTTAGAGATACGCATCTGTAATTATTGTAGGACTAGCTAATTATAACTACCTACATGTAGACATTTATGTTAAATAAAACAAAATCGTGACATGTATACCTTCTATATTTATATACACATATTTTACAGTAACTTATTAAATAGAAAGCTTCCTTCGATAGCTGTACGTTTCCTATCTTGATCAGTTGTACTTAATTGGATTTAGATTGCACACTAACATATTCAATTGTATTTATTTATTTTAAATTAAATTTTAAATGAAAATAACTATTTAAAAATGTCAAACACTATTATCAATCCTATTAGTAACATAGCTGTAGTGTAGTTGACCGACGTAAGATTTAAATTAGCTTGATGAAATATGGCTAAATTGTTTTGTTAATTATAGACAACTGGTTTTCTACGAGGAAAAAATGTATTTAATTATTCTGTTATAAAATGGAAAAATCATTTTCTTTATAGAAAACTATTGGTAGTTACTTACCACGGAAAAAATATAACCAATTGTAAAAAAAGAATGTAAAAATGACATAGTTAACCAACAGAAAATAACTGAGAAAACAGACAAAGTAACCCCCTATACAATTAGTACAGTAATAGTCATATTACAAAAAGTATTAGCATTTTTATTTTTATTAATTATATTATTAATAAAAATAAGTCTCGTATGTTTTGTCAGTGACAATATTTTAACAAAATAAAAATTTAACTTTTATTTAAAAATTCAACAATAATCGGTTTAGTTCGTATTAAAGTATTACCTTTTTAATAAAATTTTAATTTGAAAAATAATATCTAATTTGATTAATATTTTTTTTTACATAAACTTCAAATTTTAAAAACGAAGTTAGTAATTAATTCACAAAGCTAATAAATTAAAGAGATAAATGGAAATAAACATATTTTTACAGGTTAATCGCGACGGCGTTGCTTGTTGGAACTCGAACAAGCCATATACTCCTGAAAATAATCCTTTAGTGATCACCGATCCCAAACTCTTTGAATTTACTAATGATATAAAGGTGAGTTCTTATTAGCTATTTCAAATGGAAAACCGATGTATTAGGTCGACCTTCACGTGGTTGCCCCTGGAAACCATCATAAACAAGTCTTGTTGAATTCGTCACGATGGGCAACTGACCTGCTTCATTCTCACCTATCATCCATCACTGGTGCTCCGCCAGCATATCCCGATAGCACAGGCGGGGTTACCATTCCATTATCACTCATTAAAAAAACCCTTTTTAATTAATTAATAGTTCTCGCCTACCTACTTTATTATATGGAATTCTTGTATAAAATATCTGTTATTCCTTAATAGGTCGAATCGATTTCTGGGTGCTACTCTATCAAAAATTAATTAATTACAGTAATAAAATTAGTTTCAGGAAACTATTATATATTTTATATTTTTATATTATATATTACGTGTCAGCGAGAAATAATATATAAAGTAGTTCTAACTCAATTCTAACTAAATTTAATTGATATTGAATATTTAATTTATCTTGGAATAAATATTTTGCTGTATATTATATCAGATTGATTTTTTTTAAGAAATAGTGAATTGCGTTTCCGTATCTATCTCTGTTAAATATTTACTAAGGAGTTTATTTTAGATAATTAAGATTAGATTATAAAATGGTAATTTATTAAAATAGTAGAATACAAACAGGACAACGAAATTAATAATTTATTTTTATGCAGACAATTCTAGACAAATAGTGAAAGCAGTTATAGTAGTCCGAATATTTAGTATGTTACATATATATTTACAAACGATTATAAAAGCTGAAGGTGAAATCTTGAGTACATAACAAACTTTTAATCTTTACAGTCTCAAGCCTATGTATATTTTTATATCTGAATACATTGCTCTCTTTGTGAGAAAAATGAACGTTTGTGTCATTTGAGATCAAAGGAGAGTATTCAGTCTTAATAGCATTTATTAGGTGCATTCATAATTATATTTATCGCAATATGTTGAAGGAATAATTATATATATTTAGTATCTAAAGATATATATCAACAGTTCAAATTAGTTGCTTGGTGTATGTTTTTTTTAATGAGTGAAAATGTAATGGTAACCCCACCTGCGCTATCGGTATACCCTGGGAGGACACCAGTAAGAGATGATACGTGAGGATGCAATACAAATCAGTTGGCCCACCACGACGAATTCGACAAGAATTAACCACGATAGTTTTCAGGGGAAACCACGTGAAGGTCGACCTGATAAAGTATATTGCTAGCAATGAGGCTGTTGTGCTTCATTGTTAATAATCTCTTTCTTCCCGATACTCTGTGTTGTGAGGTACCCTAAAACAAATATATGGAGGCGGGAGGGGGATCTAACCATACTACTTATTAGGAAAAATTCGTTTAAACCTTGAATACGGGACGATTTATAGATATTGATGTAACAAAGTTTATTTTCTCTATTACTTTTCAGGTGGATAATGAAAACAATTTGTGGATGCTGTCTGACAAAATGCCTCGGTTTATTTATTCTGAGTTGGACGTGAACGATATTAACTTTAGGATATTCAGTATTAGTACGTCAGAAGCAATTGCGGGCACTACCTGCCAATAATTCGACATCTCAAGTTGTACACGTATACCTACTTATCTATGAAATAATCTGTAATTATAGCTTTGATATTGTTATCCATTTGTAACAGACTGTTTTAGTTATTTTGTCATTGTAAAAAAATATTGATTTCTATTTGACTTAGTTCAAATAATCTGCATCTGAATCTTTAGGAATTCCTGTCATTTGAAGAATTTTTTCATATATGAGATGGCGATAATCCAAAATTCATAGTAAGTACAAAATTTATAGTATCTACAATATGTGCAAAAACATCTCTTAGTGTTAATTAAGTGACGTAAGATACTTATGAAATTTAGATAAATTAGTGTTATATACAACTATATTTATAAGAACGAATAAATTACTTATTTATATGTATCATTTAGATATGCTGCTAGAAGAGTACAAAGTAAAAATATGGTAAATTATTAATGTACCTATAGATAATGACTTATGTAATACCAGCGTGCTGTTGCCAATAACAATGAATTAAAACAACATAATAGTTTATATAATATAACGGTGTTCATATTTTCGTGTACCTATTTAACTATCTATAACTCCAGGCTGTCAGGCTTTGTATGAGATAAACAGATATGAGATAGCATATGAGCCTTTCGCCCACTTACATAATTCGTTTTATACCTGCATACGGATTCGATATAATTTAACTTTGTATTCCACGAATAAAACCGACTACAATTGTGACAAAACCAGTTATTTTAATTTAAAAATTAAACAACTGACCTGAATTAGATAAAATTTCTGTGAAACTAATGTGAAAGTATATCTTTTCATATAAAAAAAGAATTTTCCAAATCGGTTTATATTTACTGACGAAATTTTCAAGTGACAAATACAAGCGAATTATGAACCTCCTTTTTTGAAGTCGGTTGAAAAGATTTTTAATTCCTCATTCGAAAATTCTACAATTTGCTTTAGCACGTACTGTGTCACACTTATGCATTATGTATTTATCCTATCCGATAGTATGAAACCATCATCCTTACGTTCTTTACACATTTTTATTTCTTATTTTTAAGCGTTTTTTTTAAACACAGGAGGCATACAAGTGTGCGGTTCACCAGATGGTAAGCATCTACCGTCACCCATGATCACCCACAACACCAAAGGCATGGCAGGTGTGCTGCCGGCCTTTTAAAAAAGAATACGCTCTTTGCTTGAAGGTTGCGATATCATATCGCTTCGGAAATACTGCTGCTAGGAGTTGATTCCAAAGCATTTACCCAGATGTTCCCAATTTTATTCCTTTTTTTAACATTTGCATAAAAAACTATATAGTGTAATGAATATCCGCCAATTGTAACCGTATTTTTTTTTTTACAACTTAGAATGACGAACAAGCTGACGACCCATCTGATGGAAAGTGGTAACTATCGCTTATAGGCATGAACAGTACCATGGACATAACAGTGTATACTGTATCGCTCATGACATCCTTCTTGCGTTATCATTCCTGAGGACTACGGTGTTATACCTTTGTACATTTCATTGCCATATCCTACTTCTCAAATCGAAACATCACCATGCAAACACAATTGTTTCACGGCAGAAACACGAATGCCATAGAGTTATTACAAAGCAGACGACTTTTGTACAAAGTCTCATTCTGGTTCTTTTTGCAAACGGTAAGGTTTAGTCCCATGTTAATCTCATATTAATATTGTCTGAATTCATGTAATTGTCTTTTGTTGTAATTAATGTAAGATTATTAAATAGACAACATAGATATGTTTAACAAAATATAATCACATCGGTATATGAAGTTGTCTACTACTAAAAATGGAAAACAAACCTGTTGATCTAAAATTAACAATTATTTTCCTAGTAAAAAAAATATTGTGTGTCGGCTTTACAAATGACTACTTTTTAGTGAAATATGATCTATCTGGTGGCTCATTTAGTCTAAAGGAATAAGTGTTACTTATAAAAGTTAGGGATACCATGAATTTTAGAGCATAGGTATTTTTCTTATCGGGCTACCTTCGGCACTCACCTCTGTACGTGTCCGTTGAAGCGATAAAGGCCATCTGCGGCCAACAATACTTTGGGTATAGGTAGGTACTGAGGTATTTATAATATATTGTTATAGTAATAACATTGATTGCCATTTTTGAGGAATAACCTATTATAATTAACTGTAATCTCAAACTTACTTTTAGTTACATACTTCAAGGTAATTTTTGTAGACTACCTAAGACAATGGTATCCACCCACTCCTACCTGGATCCTTACTGGACATTTTTTTTATACGATTTAGAATGGCAAACAAGCTTACGGCCCACCTGATGGAAAGTGGTAACCGTCGACTATAGACATGAGCAATACCATGGACATAACAGTACACACACATACTGTTTCGCCAATGATACCCCCTCTGCGGTGCCATTCCTGAGGACTCAGGTGTTATTCCTCTGTACCCTGTAAATTCACGCCATATCCCACCCTTCAAACCGAAACATAGCCATGCAAATACAACTGCTTCACGGTAGAAACACGAATGGGACAGAGGTACCCAAGCAATCGACTTTTGTACAAAGTCGCCCTCTGGTAATACAAGTATATCCAACATGAAACATTACAAATATTTGTGGGTGTCATAAATGTATACATACAGATTTTTTTTCATGCATCAACATCAACATAATCAACTTAATAATACCTTAGTATTGATTTAATAAACTGAAACCAGCAAGTTTTAAACTAAATAAGTGTAATAGGTCAGTATCTAATAATTAATACATACAAAAAGTAACAGTATAAATAATAAATGTTCCAAAATCCAATAAAATATTTTTAAAACTTCAGAATCAGCCTAATTGTTTTCTAAACGTAACCTGTATTTTATTTGTATTATAAACATCATACTAGTGATTTAAAACCATGATTTGTATTATAACTAATTGAGTAACTGAGTAAATGACAAATTATAATAACAAATTATACATTTATTCAGTTACTCCATCCAGAATAAGAGATATGTTTCTTTCTAAAGAAGAATTCTATTTACTTGTGTTCTCTTAAATATTTTTACCTTTGCCTATATCAATTCATCTTGGGATATGCCTTGCATATGAATACATTTGAATGCGAAATATACGAATAAATTAATAATTTCAGAACTTGTAGTTTACGTATAAAATATTTGAAAGATTTTTCTTTTTTTACCAAAAACAGAAAATGTATCAAAATTAATTATACACAAATTACATTATGTCATTTAAGCACAAAAATAATTAAATAATAAGTAAGTAAATTACAAAGCGTTTTAAGATGAGTAAAAGGCACTTCTTTTAAGCTAATATGTATTGATGAACGCGAAAATAGTTTTTATTCATTGAAATGTACTTAGGTAGGTAGGTAGTTACACCTAAATAAACAGTCTGTTTATTATGACAATATATATTAGTCAAGTCAATGAGTATTCTCTAATACTCAGAAAATAAAACCACATTAAAACATCGCCATATAATATGTGTGCGAGTTATTTATTCATCCCTATTTTACATTACTTTCCACTTTGATAACGTGCAGGAAGTTTAAAAACAATTTAACAAAGATAGCCTTATTTATAATATTTGCTCAAAGGAAAATAAGCCGTGGTTCCTTCGCTTTAAACTTCATATTTTATTATCTAATAAGAAACTGATCAGTCACAGCCATACACTCTGTGGCGATAACTAGTTAAACGCGATATTTATAAGAGGAGCAGGTTGAATCTGTGCCACTTAGTGCTTTTGTATTGCAAGCAACGCACGTTAGTATAGACTTTCTCGTAATGGCTCCTAAATATAAAACTGAAAAAGTCGGCATCGTCGGGAGGTATGTACCTTTATAAATATTTTTTAATTAACTTATAATTTTTACACAATTACTTAATGCATTATCGACATTAAAATTAAAACGACTATCTTTTTCAAATACAGGGGGTATAAGAAGATGAATAAGTTTGGTTTAGATGAATCGTTTTATATCTTTTTCGAGTGATTAATAAATAAATGAAGCTTGCAATATCTTTTATATATCTAATTATGTTAATTAAATTAATATTAAAAATTTAAAAACTCGTACAAATATTGAATAAGATTTCAAATGTATGTGTAAATAAAATTATTTATGCTAAACTAGTAAATTTGACTATAAATAGTAAAATAAGTTAAATTTATATAATTATAAGTCCACGTTACTCCTGTTTCTCATTGCGATTTTTTAGATAAAGGTCATAATTATCTATATAATAAAAATGCTTAATTTTAATTCTCCCAAAATACAAATTTCAATGAATAAAATTTAAATGATTCTACAGTACATTTCCTAGTTTTAAATATGTATTTTTTAATTTTATATGAATAAATAATTGTCTGTATTATTATCTGTCTTATTATTTACTTAAAAAAAATACAGTAAATATTAAGTATAATAGAACGGACAAAGTGAGTTCAAAAAAAATAACGTAGCAAGGTTCTCGTGGTCTAATGAATGTTCAATGTCAATATTTATGTATACTTATTACTTAAATTGGACGAGTTTTAAAAGTTTACTGTTATAAAAGACTACCGTAATTATACAAGGAAACTATCACAAAATTCATTTATATTTATTCCTCCATATTTATATTTCCATCATTTGCCTTATAATTTAGAAGCTAATTATTAAGTTATACGTATTTAAGAATGGTTAGAAGAGTCAGTTGAAAAATGTTATTATTTGCTTATTATTTAAGGGCTAACACCCACATTATGAGACAGTATACGCTAGCGGGGCACTAGTGCGGGGTAATAGGTGACGATGAAAGCAAGCCAGTTAGCACATCGTGATGAATTGCGCTAGAATTAACCACGATGGTTTCCAGGGAAACCACGTGGAGGTCGACCTGATAGGATATATTGCAATGGGACAGTTAGACCCACTTACTAACAATCCCTTTCCCCCATAAGGTAATATTGAGAATTACCTATTCAAAGGAGCCTCAATAATCGTATTTTTAGTATATCCTTATTTATTATTTTGAGGAAACTGTATTGAGGTTGAGTGAAATTAGAAATTTAATACCCAAAAAAATTTACAGTTGCATACAATAATAAAGCAAGTAACAGTTGCATAGTAAACAGTATTGGTAGGCCTCTATTATTAATAAAACTCATGTTTAAAACTAGCGGTAGTAACATGTTCACCATTGTTCCTTTGCGTAGGTAATAGCGTCTTCGGAATTCAGTATCATCGTAGAATTTCATTGGATTTTTTTGTTAATCCAGATAATTTATTAATTATTTATTTGTATAGTATTCAATCATTATAAGAATTATAATAAATGCTAGAATATTCATAAGATAAACACAATATTTTTTACATTTTAAACTTGTACTGAAAAAATGTTCTCTTACTAATAAAAGGTAGTTTCGATGTACCTTGAGATCGACAGTTCTTACCTCACACATTCCTCACCTCGAGTGAGGAAAGCACTCAAGTCGTGGAATATTTTTCCAACTGATTACCGATTTCAACGAATGAGGATGAGACGAGTCGAATAAGGTTTAAGAAATCGTTGTAGAACACGGGTGTAAAGAATATACACGTTAGATGCCCTTACAAAGACATGTATATAAGTATACTCTTGTTCATATCCATAGAGAGATAATTTAAATACTGGACGCGTAAAATTTGACATTTTTCAGACAAAATAATTTAAGAGTATTTATTCACAACCGACTTTAACTGTATAAAATGAATATGTATTAAAAGTATCAATAAAAAAAATATCAAAATGAATACAAAAATAGGTCAGATTTCTACATCAGAAAAAAGACAGTCCAATTGGAATCTCCCTAATTTTTAAAGCCTGTTGAAAATCTTTGTTTAAATTCTTACAGATATGGCTTAATTCAATTAAAAAGTTGTATTTTGTAATACATATATTGCAAAAATTTTTAATGACAGCTTAATCAAATTAAAATTAAAATAAGTAGGTATGGGTTCGAGTAAATTAAACAATAAGATATTCTTTTATTCACCAGCAGATAATATTATCTGGGCGTCACGAGAGGTTAATATATAAACAATAAATATTACATATTCTTACATAATTTGGAATGATAATGTTTTTACTTGCAGTGTAAACAGCGGAACTTTTAATGATTTTTGATATCTTTAATGTAGAACTTTGTTTTTTTATATATATATATATATATATATTGCAGTTTTTACAGTTTTTATTAGATTCTGCGCTATTATTATTTATATTATGCACTCATATTATCTTTAAGTCTTCATGACACCATATTACTTTATAATAATGTGACTATCATTTCACATCATTTTGCAATAATAATTTTCAGATATCCCTGAATGGTCAGTTTTATAACGGCGTGGGTTAGTTTTATAAAGTAGTTTTTTTTTTTTATTAGCTTATATCTTAATGATATAGTAGTAGATATCTAAAACATAGTTAGACTACATCCTCACATCTTCGTTGGCAGGGTCCGTGTTTCCATATAAATATAATTTAATAATGCAATTGAGAACATGGATCTCTCCTAATAACAGGAGGATATCTCGTATAGCGCTGACCAGACAGCTTAGTTTTATTTAGAGTTCTCTTAGTGTCTCTTATGATATCACGGGGATGAAGAGAAGTGAAAACATCGTATTGCTAGAAATATTAGTAATATTTTAAATACTATTGAAGTATATCAAACCTTAACAATTTGGAAATAAAAAAAAAACAATATATTTTTTTTTATTTCACATAGGTAATTTTTTTGTAATTTTTAAATTCTGTCAACAAATGTTTGCATTTATTCTAATGATGAAGTTTAGCAGACCCCATCTTAAAGTATTTAAGTAATCTATTTATCTTCATTTAAATAATAATCTCTTAATACTTAGTATTTAAAAAAAATATTTTGAATTCTATGTTCCAGTGGTTTGATCGGAAGGTCATGGTCGATGCTATTTGCCTCCGTGGGTTATCAAGTGACATTGTTTGACATTGTGCCCAAGCAAGTTGACAACGCCCTTGAAGACATCAAGCAACAGCTCTTAACATTACAAAATGACAATTTATTGAGAGGCGAACTGAACGCTACTGAGCAATTTCAATGTATAAAAGGTAAGTAATTTATCCTTACAAAAAATGAGTAGCCTGTGTCCTTTTCCATTCCATATAGTACGTGTACCTGTACACCTGTACTAAATTTCAGTGATTGGTTAAACCATTAAGGCGCTATAAAATAACAAACAAACAAACTCACTTTCACATTTATAATATTAGTGAGTATTATAGACCCTATACCGGTAAATTATAGCCATATGATTATTTGCCAACTTAATTTAAATAAATTATTGTAACAAGTATCCATTTACGACAAAATTGTATTTGAAAATGTTAGTGTTTATTGTTAGTTTGTGACCTTCCAGATGCTCCTTATCAGAAATTCTAAAAATTGGTATTTATACTTGTATGAACCCTTTATTCTTGAACATATAGATACTTGTATTTCGTTATGTAAGTTATGAATAGTGTGTCTGTTCTTTATCTTGGTGTAACATTATTTCATAAACCCATTCATTATATATTATTTAATTACTAACCTAATACCTATTTTAAATAACCTTTACGTATATCAATAAGTATGTACTATCTAATATAGATATGGTAAACAGTAGTTCAATTATAGTATGGTATATTTATATATATATATATATATATATATATATATATATATATATATATATATATATATATATATATATATAAATTACTAAATTTTCTACTTTATGACCACTGATTAATATTTTTTTATTATAGTTTCAAAATATTGATTAACCGACATAAAAGATCACTTATGATCTTCCCCATCACAAATACTACATGAACCTATACCAAATTTCATGACAATTGATTAAGCTGTTACAGCACAAATAAATAACAATAATAAACTCAATGAAAATGAGTTTATTATTGTTATTTAATATAATATTAGTAAAGATAAAAACACATTCGATACTGCTCAACTACAAAAATAAATGATGCTTTACATTAATATATCTTCTTTTTTTTAAAGTATATGTATTAGGTATAAAGGTCTTCTTAATCCTCTGGAATGGCAACACGTGAGAGTTAACATGGGTACTACAGTGTGAATATTGTGCTATTCATGTTTATATGAGATGATTATTACTTTCCATCAAGTGAGCTGTCAACTGGTGTGCCATTCCGAATTGCATGAACAATACTTACAATAATAATAAAGTTCATGAAGATGTTTAAATTTTTGTTGCTCAATAACACTTAAATAGTTGAACGGTTTTAACTAAAAGTTTCGTCAAATATCTTAGCAAATTATAAGTAGGTAGATACTTGTAATCTTGCGATATTCTATAAAATAAATATATTGTAATAAATATTTAAGTTTCATTGTTAACTTTCGTAATTACACATTATATTTTAATATAATCATTAATTATAATAAATAATCGAAAAAACTCAGCTAGTTTAGAGATTATCTGGGATCCTTAGTCATGAGCGACTGTGACGCGAGCGCAAATCTGACTAAAAGTCCCGGATGGTCCAGAAACTAGTCTATTTTTTTCCATTAAAATACACGTAAGTTAAACTGGTAGTTATTATATAAAAATACAAATATTTCAGGTTCATCTGACCTAGCTAGTACTGTCAGGGGTGCTATATTTGTTCAAGAATGTGTACCAGAAGATTTAGCTCTCAAGAAAAAGCTATATAAAGAATTGGACGCGATTGTAGACGACAGGACAATACTCTCCAGTTCGACTAGTTGCATTCTGCCGTCTCGATTTTCTGAAGATCTGAAGCACAGATCACAGGTAAATAATAATAAACTCTTTATTGTGCTCAAAAGAGATGTATACAAGAAGTATTTATACAGAATGTGCATATACAAATGGCGGCCTTGTTGCTAAAAATAATCTCTTACAGACAATCTGGGATAGATCTGGGATAAATAAATAAATAAATAAATCCTATCCAGACAAATATTGGTTTTTCGTTAATATTATGCATTCATGTAAATTTATAATCAAAATGACAATGTTTAACTCTGGTCCAGAGACCTTAAAACCGAATCCCAGTTTAAATCTTTGAAATTATCAAATTCACATTTACATCATTTAAACATGATGATAACTTGTTTAATAAAGCCGCCACCCGATATGTCACGTCGATAATTAATTAATAGATGGTCACAAATTAAACGTCTCACTTTTTTTAGGTTATAGTTTCGCATCCGGTGAATCCACCTTACTATGTGCCATTAGTGGAGATCGTGCCTGCACCTTGGACAAGACCAGAAGTGGCAGCGAAGACCAGAGAAATAATGTCAGAAATTGGACAGGCACCTGTTTCCCTTTCGAAAGAAATTGATGGATTTGTGTTAAATAGAATTCAGTAAGTCTTACATCATGTAGCTACCTGTATCTAAGAAAATTAAATAAAAATAGATACATATATATATTTAAACTTCCGTATATAATTGATGTCATCATAATAAGAACTGGTTCAGTCTAGGAATGCTGCAGTGCATTTTTTTATGACAGTACGGTTGAGTCACTAATTACTTGAACGTAATATACATTGTTATTTGTCATGCAGATATGGTTCGATCTGCATTTCTATATGTACCGCATTTACCAATTTTTTTGATAAAGACATAATTTCAGCAGATTTACTCAACATAATTGGTATTTTCATACCAACTATACCTCCATATTTTCAAGTGTTTTAAATAAAATCATATAATTAAATATAGTTCAGTAATTATCTATATAATGAAGTTTTATGATGAAATAACGACACAAAGAGTGAATTTGATCTTTTCGTTATTGTCATACTTTAAACCATAAGGGCGTTGCCGCGTTGTCCCGACATAGAATAGGCCACTCCTTCTTTTCCCGTGGGTGCCATAAGAAGCAACTGAGGAAACTTAACGACGAGAGATAGCCATTACTGGCATAGCCTCGCTAATGCGTGCGGCTATCCATATTTGATATTAGAGACATTCGATGTAGACTGATTACTATGTGTATACGTAGATGGTAAACAACTACATGAACTACCACAAAATAATACATAATGAGTATATAATGTAGGTAAGAGATTTGTAGTAATATATTTTTACAGGTATGCTATACTGAATGAAGTTTGGCGTCTAGTTGAGGACAAAGTTGTGGATGTCAAAGATATCGACGCCGTCATGTCTGAAGGCCTGGGTATGCGTTATGCTTTCCTCGGCGCTTTTGAGACTGCGCACTTGAATGCAGAAGGAATGAAAAATTATATTGAGAGGTCAGTATTATAATCACTGTCGTAAAAAATAAGCCCCCCCCCCCCCTATATTTGTACGTAAGTATCATAGATCTATCTTGCTTGACAATATTAACGGTATTAATTAAATTAACGAACGACAATCGATGGTCGTAACTATGACTGGAATCTGTAGGTGTTTTAAATATAAATAAGTAAATCTTAAAACTATACTAAAGTATTTTTTAATTTTTATTTTTAATTACAGATATGGGGAAACTATTTACAATGTAACTCAAACATTCGGCGAGGCTCCGCGGATGACACAAAACAGCAGTGCACCCACGATTTGTAATCAACTAAATAGAATGGTGCCTCTAGAGAGGTTGCCTGAGAGACGCGCCTGGCGTGACGCCTGCCTAACTCGTCTATCTATACTTAAAAAGGAAATGAATAAAAATTATAAGCAATAAATGCATGCATATAAATTTAAGCATTGATAACAAATAAAACTCTTTTTTGTGAATCTTAGAACTTAATTCTTTTACATATATACTTGTATCTTGTGTTCCGGTTCAAAAGATGAAAATTATGGTAATGGAACTTCATTAAACACCTAAATAAGTTCCTGACGAGACTCAAGAACATTTCTAATAAAAATGCATCAAAATGCATTTTCAAGAATGATTCCGCATGAAGAGTATCATGGGTGCCAAAATACACTCTGTTATGTCCATGACTCTGTTCATATCTATAGGCGACGATTACCTCTTTCCATCAGGTTGGTCGTCAGCTTTATTTTTCATTCCAAATTGCAAAAAAATCTATGTGACAGAAACTAAACAACTTTGTCTAGGGATCATAACCAATTAAATCCTCAAAATATTATGTATTTTAAATCATTCATCCAAATTACGTGGCCACGTCGTCAATTTAGTATGAAAGGTTAGAAAGTTTTCAGAATATCAAATTTGCTTGGCTTTGGAAGCTGTATATCAAGACTAAATAATAATGTTAATAGCGGAGGCAGAGGTTTTTTTTTTTAAATGTAATGTTTACTTCAACTGCTCTAACGGTATACGTTTGCAGAGCACCAGCGATGGATGATGGTAAGAATGAAAATGCAAGTCAGTTAGCTCATCGTAATGAATTCAGCACGATGGTTTCCAGGGGGACCACGTGGAGGTCTACCTATTAGCGTATATTGCTATCAATGGGACAGGTAGTTCGCAGTAGTAACGATCTCTTTCAAATCCGCGCAGGCGGGGATTTTTTAAACTGTGAAAATGAAATGGTTGCCCCACCTACGCTATCGGTATACGCTGGTAGGGCACCAGTGATAGATGATAGATGAGGATGAAAGTAGGTCACACGGCCCATCGTGAAGAATTCGACAAGAAGTAACCACGAAGATTCCATTGATAGCAATAGGGCTGTTAGAATCCATTACGAACAAATCCTTTCCCCCGTGCAGGCGGGAGACCAGTGAGATCTGTTAGATGAGGATGAATACAGGTCAGTTAACCCATGGTGACTTTTTCAACAAGAATTAATTACGATGATTTAATAGTGTATATAGTAATGGGACACTAGTTTCCATTTCTGACAAGCCCTTATCCCAGTTCATAATAGTAATTTTAGTTCTTAAGTAATGAAATAACTTTAGTTCTTTATTTGGAGTATAATTAATTTTAACCTAATTCATAAATATAAATAGCGTATGTTATTTTATTAAAATAATAAAATTGTAATTCTACGACGTCTATACACATGAAATATTAAAAACAAAAATAATGAGAGTTATCAATAAACGCAATAGATTCTAAACAATAATCTATAGAAATTTTGTCTATCTGTATGTTAATTTGAGCATTACGTAAAAAATACTGCACCAAACTGAATGGGTTTCGTAGTTGTGTTTGTGAACTTAAAATTTAGTGTATGTTTTATATTGTTGCGACATCCCATACATACAGAAAAAAAATCTCACCATATCTTTCAAAAAATAAAATTTCCAATACTTATTACATAGACTGAGGATAATAACTACCGACCTATCATTTTTATGTATAATTATATGATATCTGTGTATATATATTTTTAGCAAAGAATCCAAATACATCCAAAAATACTCAGATTATATAGATAGTCTTCATAGAAATGCTTCGAGAAAAACTAATCAATTTTTTTATACAATTTTGCGTGGTAAATAGTTATGACTGACTCCTTCATAACTTTTATGTTTATTTTGTCTTATAAATTCTGCATCTTTTTAATGCATAAATATTCATTTAATTTATTAAATAATACGTCAAGATACATCTTATGCGTAAATATTTAAAATACTGATAGTCATAGAAAAAAGGAGTCAGCTAATTTGTCAATTAGCTGACAAAAAGTTGACCCATTTTTGAGGTTCAATGGTCTATCTATATAACCTTAGCACAAATATTAAAACTTCTCAGTAACCCTCTTAAAATAGCTCCTTTTCAAATAAATTCCAAAATCTTTGGATGAATTAAATATAGAGTATAGATATTATTATTATTATACTTTGTAAACTGTTAAGTGGCTTGATATAAACACGTATGTTCTGTCACGTATAGAACAGAGATGGATGGAGTTATTCCGTGTTCACATAGATAAGTTCTTGCGATCCTCGGTTTATTTGTAATTAAAATATACATAGTATGAGAATAATACTTGTGGCTGGTATAACATGAATTGATAATATTGATTTTGATTTTATTTATAAAAAGAGTATTATCCTTAAATCTATGGTAGAAGACTTGAAAGACAACATAAATTTGAATTCTTATTATTTTTAATATATGATTCCATCTTTGCCACTTTCTATAATCTGTGGTTGTGTTTCCTATATTAGTTATCTATTCCATATCTAATCTATGTTCTGTTTGCTCTGCTGTCTTCAACTGTCTTCTGGTTGTTGCGCGATTGCTTATTTTATTCTTTCATATTTTTCTACAGGAATGTTTTAATTTTATAAAAAAATGTATATATTGGTTGGACCACGTAAATTTTAATAAACGTGTTGTTAATTTAAAACATTAATGTGATATTGCCGACAAAATCTCATGTCAAAAGGCCTTGCAACTCGCATAGATCGGACAATTTTCCAAATGTTTTGTTTTGATAGATAATGGATCCAAGAATGTGCAGAAAAATCAGTAGTAGTGAAAGTCTTCCAGATGCTGATAATGTGGAATATGAAGTATCAAACATCATTGCACCGCAAGAGAGCGAGGAGAACTTTTTAATAGAAGGTAGTCCAGAGCCTAACTCTGTTACTTGGCTGGACGATGATCAAATTGATGAGTTAGATCTTAATTTAGACCAAACTAACCTATTTTTTCATAGAGTTGATAGTGCAGATATAATTTACCGAAGTAAAAAGAAAAAATGTAAAATGGTAGGAAAATATGTGATGGGGGATGTTTTAGGAGAAGGTTCATATGGTAAAGTGAAGGAGATGTTGGATTCAGAGTCTCTCTGCCGACGGGCTGTGAAAATATTAAAAAAAAGAAAGCTTAGGAGAATACCAAATGGTGAACAGAATGTACAGAGAGAGATCCAATTGCTCCGTATATTAAGACATAAAAATGTGATAGAACTAGTCGACGTTATGTATAATGATGAAAAACAAAAAATGTACCTTGTTATGGAATTTTGTGTTGGAGTTCTGCAGGTAAAGAAACACTTGTTTTTGGTAATATATCTAATGTAAATATTTCTTTGTGTTAGAATTTTTTTCATATGTTATTTACATAGAATCTATATAATTTATCAAGATATTATGAAAAACAGAGATTCCCTATCTTTTTAGAATTTACAACACACATTGTTTTCTGATTGTATGAATTAAAAAGTTGTGACTGGGACAAACTTTAGGTCTTAAATGGAGAAGATCTCAGAAGAGCTAATAAATACTAATCACCTTATTCACAAAAATTTAAACCTTTTATAATCCTATTTTAACTACTAGAGTGTTTTATTACTTTTTCTCCAATAGGGAATTTGTAGCAACATCACATAAAAATAGGTTCGTGAGATGTTTGACATTTTTATGAATAAGGGACTAATATTTTTTTCTGGCCTATTTTAATATTTTATAATCATTATCTGTGTACATATGTATACTAGTTTACTTTTACAAAAGTAGTTTTTTTTTTATATTTAACTTCAAATGTGTTTTTGTAGTTTCTTCTAATAAAGTTATAGTTTAAACAATTGGAGTTTAAGTTTGACTCTATTTTCTCATTTTACATGTAGTATTGTTTATGAAATTTTAATTGTAATGTTATGTAATTTTTGAAAGTTAGTAATATTTGATTGGTTGTCAACAAAAGTATCACTATTGTACTTATCATGTTAATAAATTGTTACTTCAGGATATGTTAGAGTCAAGCCCTGGTAAAAAGTTTCCTCAGAGGCAAGCACATGACTATTTTACTCAATTGCTGGATGGCTTGGAGTACCTGCATGGACAAGGTGTAGTACATAAAGATATCAAACCAGGAAATCTTCTTTTGACACTGGATCAAACATTAAAAATCACAGATTTTGGAGTGGCCGAGGTAAATTTAACAGATATAGTGGTAGTTATCATTACAATTTCTTACTAACCCAGTTATTTTGAAAATAGAAACTTACTACATAAAAATTTTTAAACTGTTTTTTTAACAAGCAAATTTACTTAATTCTTACAGACTTCATTTTCATAAATTAGATGTAAATATTAAAATGTGTTTATATGTAGGTACATCGACTATTGATGTACCTACATATAAACTTAATAATAGTAAATTGGACATTAAATATATGAATTTCTTGACTTTAGTTATGATATTATGCAGTAAGAATCTTCATTAAAAACTCATTATTACATTCATCGCAATATTGAGTGAGAACTCAAAAGCTTTCAGGACTTGGCAATCTTATTTTTATACCATAAATATGATAAATAGGTTTATTTATTTTAAAAATCATTTAAGTATATTTATAAATAAAGTATATAATATGAACAAACCAAATCTAGAAACATAAAAAATTCAGTATAAATTTGAACAAAAATATTAATTTATATTTCAGAATCGGTAAATTAATTCATTTATCTGTTTTAGCTTTAGCTATATTATTTTATTGTTTAATTTTAGGAATTGAACATGTTTTCTCCGGAGGATACCTGTTATACAGGACAGGGCTCTCCAGCGTTCCAGCCTCCAGAGATTGCAAATGGTGCTGAACAATTCTCGGGTATAAAAGTTGATATATGGAGCAGTGGTGTCACATTGTAAGTGCTACTTATCTTTACTTTGATATAATTTATGACAAGGTGACAAACACTACTATTTTTATCTAGAGCCATTGTGAATAGTGAATACATCCTTGTGTCTATACATAGGTACTTATTGTATTCTTTATATAAACAGTTTCAGTTATCTATATTAACATTATAAAGAGGAAAGGTTTGTTTTTATGTACGACTTTTGTACAAAGTCTTCCTCTGGTAAATGTAGTATTAAATGGTCTTAATGGTCAAGGAATGGGTAGCAGCATCCTTCGTAAAACATCATCAAAAGCCTATCTGTAGTTGCCAACCCACTTGCCAAGCTTGGCAACTATTGGCAAAACTGTACAAGGATTTATGTTGTTAAAGTATTAACATTAAAGTAGTAATGAGGATAAAATTGCAAATAAATTACCTTTAAAGTAAGCTCATTGGATTATTGTCATTGACTCATTTATTAAAGACTAAATCAATCTAATGTTATTTATTGCGCTTTAAACATTTATATTTGTTTCATATAATTAACTATTATTATAATTGTAGAACTGTGGAATGACTTCTAATATTATAAATGTGAAAGTTTGTAAATTGTGCTTATTATTCAAACAAGCTGAAATAGCTGAATGGATTTGAATAGAATTAGGTATATGGGTAGGTTTTATTCTACTACTATCTACTTAATACATAGAATATTTTATATATTGATTCATGTAAACAAAGTCGAGGAAAATGCCTAGCCATTGATAAATCATCATTTCATAGTAATGAAAAACAACAAAATTAAGAGATATCTGTGTTGCAAATACATGTTATTTTTCAGTTGTCACTTTTTTCAGGTACAATATGACAACAGGACGGTATCCTTTTGAAGGTGACAATGTGTATCGGTTATTGGAGGCGATTGGTCGCGGGGAGCCGGCACCACCACCAGCCTCGCTAGGACCTACTCTTGGGGCGTTACTCACGCATATGTTGAAGAGAGACCCTGACTTGAGGCCTACAGTGCAACAAATTAGGAGACATGCGTATGTATAGCGTGAATAAATAATTAAGCATGTTCATTGCATATTTTTCAATTAGAATTTGTACTTATACTTTTATTTTAAAAACTGAGGAATAACTACATGGGACAGATAAAGGAAACACTAGGTGTCATGTTGTATAGGGAGGTCAAAGATATGGCGTGAGATAGAGCTGACTGGAAGAAAATGCATGAATTAGTAGCACTGACAAAAATGAAATGAAAAGAGAGACTTATACTTTAATTTTTTTGGTTAATTTAAAAAATCATGGATTTTTTAAATTTTTTTTTTTTGTATTTGTATTTATTGGAACAACACAAAATTACAAATGTCGTGGCTGTCAACGCCCACCTCCTCAAGGCAGAGGCGCTGGCGTTCCAGTAGAATAAATAAAACTGTTAATTAAACAAAGAAAAAGCATGTACATGTAGCACACATATATGTGCCCAACATACATATAGACATTTAGTTTTACATTATATTAATATATTTTATTTTTATTACTGAAGTACCACAATATCACGCAAGGAGTATACTTACTACATTTTGTTTGTCTACTATGATATCACAATGGCTATTTAGTGACGAAAAATTCCTGAATTAACATATGAGTACATAAATGAGGAATGACGCAGAAAAATGATAAGATCTAAATAGCTAATTTAGATTGCGTAGCGTTTTAGGATTAGGTTTTCATATATTGAAATATAATAAATAGATACGGTCCATCCACTTGCATTATTGTTTCCATGAAATTCATTATAAAAATATTAATTTTTTTAGAAATGATAAAAATAAAAGTTTCCATTTATTAGTTTTTTCGTAATTTTAATTTGTATATCGCATTATAACTTTGTGTTACCATTACAGAGCAGATAATATACAAGTATATAAATATATTTCCTCATTATTAATTTTTAAATGTTGATAAAAATAAATCAAAATCTGCTCAGTATTTTTCTATCTTTGTTCTTTCTAATAGAGCTGAAGGTGGGATGACTATGCTTTATATAGATATAAATCTTGTTAAACATATATATGTAGCTGTTATGTTAAATTATGTGCAGAGAACAGTCTGTAGTATGTTTAGGTGTACTGTCAATGTTATTACACTGTGTGCATGTGTTAAAAAGTGACTTTATCTATATGTCTACTCTATTATGTCTACAGTAACAGGCGTCTTTTTTCTAGATATGTTAATTTGATCTATTGTTATGTTTATTTGAATCTTGAATACAATTATTAGTTAATAAAAAATTAATTTAAAAAAGTAGGCCATATTTTTACTACAGAGTTGTTATCTTCGAGAGTGGATACTTTTTTGAATAATACTTGCATTGTGTTTCAAAATTCTGTTGTTTCCTTTAGCAAGTAAAACCAGAAACAAATATAAATTTGTACCTCATTCTTAACAGTTTTGAGAATAAAAATCGTTTGTACAGACACAAAAAATCTTTTTCCATGTAGTCCAGTATGTTTGTATATTTAAACAGTTGCAGAATTAACCCAAACTTTTCGTTCTTTTTATTAACTGTAATATAATATATGTACTGTATTATGATGTTTTTCACATATAAGTAAGATTAGGTAGGTAATATAATTACCTACCTAATCTTACTTATATGTGAATTTTGTTCATGTGTATAGGTGACGGATACTACTTGCAACTGAGCTATTATTTTTAATAGTTTAAAAAAAAAAAATGTGCCCATTTTAAGGGATGCGCATACAATTGACAAATTAAATTATATATCTAATTACAATCTAAAATTGAAATTTCATTATTAAATAATTGATTCAACAGTTGGGTACAAGCCCAGCCGCCACTGGAGGCTGGCGAGCGGCTAGTGAGTCCGCGCTCTCGCCGCTCGGACGAGCTCCACAACTCCACTGTCATACCGTACCTGGTTGAGAGGCATTACGCCTCTGCACAGGAGTACTTTACTGAAAGGGACCTTAGGCATGGTGAGTATATTTACGGGATAATATTTATTCTTGTATAAATATGGAACTTCACCAATAGTTTACATAGTCTGTTTCAGTAGAATTTGATGAAAATGTAAATAAACGTATAATTGACATAACTATAATACAGTCTACTGATATCCAATAGTACATATAAATAAGAATCTATTAAATGATTGAATATTTCGATTTATTACTATTTACTATTATAAATTCATTTTGATAGTGTTTCTGTCAAAACTTGGTTCTCTTTTCATTCACTTGTATTGAAAGGAAATTTTCTAAGAGCATTGTTTACTGATTTGTGTGCATTCATGAAAAATATTGTTCTTTTTACATTCTTCTATTACTCTTCCTAATTCTACTAGATATATTCTAGTTCTTGCTTTGTTCCGGATCTTGTACATTTTTCTTTATTCTTTTAGTTGAATTTCATATTAACATATCTGTAATGAAATCATTTCTAAACTATTATTACGATCTTAGTCATTTAAACAATATGCTTTTTCGTCCTATCTGCATATCCTCTACATCTTTCCATAAAAACACACCAAATTCTAAATATCCTCTATAAAGCTTGTAGCCTATTAGGTACTCATCTTGTTAACTTGTTGTTAGTTTAAAACATTTGTTTTCTTTTTATTTGTAAATATATGTATTTGTATTTCATGAAATATATAAATGATGATAATGATTATATAAATTTAATGAATCATTATGTATTTTGATTTGTGATAGGTATGCTATTTTAGTATATCATTACATTATTGTACATCAAAAATTCTCCAAAATTTTCAAAAGTTGCCATATTTTTGTGTCATATTTTTAAATATTATGGTAGTTTGTTTTTATGTCTCAAGAATGTGACATCCTGGAATTTTAATTATAGGGTAAGGAAGGACTTGAAAGTAGTCCTCTCAATTTTACAGAATCTGATGAAGTGCGTGTAGCCGGCACGATACGCGCTCGTATTTGCTCTCTGAGTTAGGTTTGTTGCATGAGAGTGTCAATGTTGATACCAAACATAATGTCATCGACAGCTCATCAATCTGGTGCATGGGACTCCCTCGTGAGAGTGCAGAGTTTACGGGTGGTATCACGTTAGCGGGGTATGTATAGTGGAACGGGCAGAGGATGGGATTGCCAGTAACAGGGCCTTATAATCAATCTCATTGTTGGCAAAGGTTGACTTGGAAATCATCGTTTTTATAATTTATAATGAATTGGTTATGACAGACCAACAGACCTACCTTCATCTTCTTCTCTTATCACTCACTGGTACCCCGCCAATGTATACCGATGGCACAGACAGATTAAGTTGAAAAGCTATAATACTTTCTAAAAATTTATTTAATTTTGGATCGTCCTTGAGTGGATTCCGGCAAATAATACCAATTTCTGAATAATTGAAAGTGGTAATTAACACATTTGATTAACATATTAACTAATTTCATACTAGACATTCTTCGTCGATAGATAGCGATGCATGATTGTGATGATTATAGAAAATCCTCATAGCATGATTTTAGTGTTTATTGTTATTTGTTTATTTTGTATAGTGGAAAATATGGGGCTTTCTACAGATCATTATTTTTTTTGGTGAAATAGAAACTAGAATCTAGAAAATTAATTAATATAAACATAGGAGACTTTAAACGTGTTCTTTGCCGTAGGTACTTGAATATTTTACTTTCACCCATTTCTATTTCACCGGAATAAAGTAAGCAAGCAGCTTGTATCATCATTCAACCTGCTTGCATTTTGTCTTCCTGTTTGAGAGCTGAGATATGGCAATGCAACTACTTCATAATGTGATTAGACACTAACTAGACAAGTGATATCTCTTGCATTGAAAGTGTTCATAGGCTGCAGGGCTGCGGTAGTCAATTTCTATCATGCATTTTACAAAATAAAGTATTAATAATAGAATAAATATTAAACTTATATATAGAAGTGATCTGTAAAATATATAGAAAACGTTTCTTATAATGTTTCTGAACAAATTGCATAATTTCTTTATATTACTGAAAATGACAAACAAACTGATAGTCCATTTGATGGAAAATACGTATTACTACGAGTGAAGATCAAATATTTGCATTTGTTGCATTATTAGATATTAATGATAACATTAATTTATTTTATTTGATGTACGGTAAAATCAGTGTGTTCAGGTTAATACCAGCATCTGAATGTCATGACCGTATAATTCTCCATATGCTAAAGTTATATCCCTACCATTTGGATGAGTAGCGGTCCTGCTATAACTATAGAACCAAAAATATAAATTGGATTTCTACCTCCACGCTACGTCTCTCATTTGGGTTCATTGTGTATGGAACCAATTTCCAGCAAAAGTATTTCTGAATAGATACGACATAAAAACTGTACCAAGAGTATATTCCTTCCTAAAAGACTGGTATCACACCTGCAATTTCTCTGATGCTACGGATGCCTATAGGCGACGGTAATCGCTTAGCATCAGCTGAACCACACATACGTTTGCCCGCTATGTTGTAAAAAAAAGTGATGATTGAAAAGAGCTTTGTAAAAAGTCTATTTAATAAAGTTTATTTCTATTTAATTTTCAGAGCTGGGTGACGGTGGCTCTCGAACACTGTCGACCGCCGAGTTATCGGACGCGGAGTCGTCTCGCCGCAAACACCGGTGGCATTCTTCTTGCGGACGCCTCCCTTCTTGCCGTCTCACGTGATCTCCACAATGATATTGTACAAAGAGCTACCGCACTCTTTAAACAAATCCGTTATACTCCAAAATTACCAGTAATAGCACACTAAAAAGATTCATATTTGCAATTAATGAAATTCACTGTTTTTATGAGACAAAATGGGCCTGTTATTAATAAATTTATTTATTATATATACTTAGAAAAAGATTACAAATAAAAAAATATATTAAAAATTTTACCGGTTTCAACTTTATTTTTTTAAACGTTTAAACGACGAATTTTTCACGTATAACTTAAAAGCCAATAACTGTATATCTATTTATTCATGGTGTGACTTGCAAGCAGACTTTTAAGCGCTCAAATTCTATTCAGGGTTTCACTTCGCGGGTTCTCATATAATCAGTCAATAATTTATTGTTATTTACAAGTTGGAATTGTTAATATGAATAATTTTAGAACTTAATTACTAACCACTAAAATGACTATTTTAGATCTTCATGGATCATATACGATCACATTTCTAAGTGCGTTTAAAATTCAGCCAAAGTATAATTTTCTCTATATTTTACGGCTAGAATCTGTTTACAATTCGCATGGTGTGTGACCAGATGATGCCACATATGCCGTTTCTTTTTTCTCCATGCGTATGGTAACGTAAACGTATTTAGAAATATAATTGTCCGTCTGGACCTCCAGATATTGTTACTCGATTTGTTTTGTTTGTTACGTAAAAAAATTTTAAAACAAATCGTGCGAACGATTATTTTCCAAAGGCACTTCTTGTTCCCTAGGAAATCTATTTTTTTTTCGACACATTAATCAATGTAAGGATTTTTGAAACCACATTATCCTCGTCTGGATATTTTGTCTTGCTGTGTGTAGCTCCTGCACTATGCCGCGTACTTTACCAATATATTGTAATAATTACACGTATGTTTTGATGTTTCTTGTTTTGTTAGTTTAATTTACTATATCTTAGATTTATAATTAAAATTGTGTCTTGATATTTTCAATGATCTTTATGGCACTTGTTATTAAAATATTTCAGTTTAATTGTCATTAGATTAAATTTTTTGAAAGATCTTTATGTACCAGTGTTCACCAACATTTCTAGCCGTGTATTCGTTACATTAATTGCTGTTTGGTGTAAACAAAAAAGAAAGTGAATTACATATTCACATATGTATAAGCGGACATTTTACTATGGACTGTAATATACGAATAATATACGAATCATATTCCGGGATTGATGCTTTTCATTATTTTTTATTACGTGTATAATTTTTATTGTTAAAGATTTTGTAAGCACACATTATATTTTAATGTAACAATTAGGCGCGCGGTCAAGCTCGCGTTACAGCCGCTCATGATTATGGGTTAAGAATTGATCCCGAAACTAGTCGAGCTTTCTCGATCTAATTACCCGTAAGATAAACCGGTAGTTATTACGTATTAATAGTGACATTGATATATGAAAGGCTACGTGACGGAGGGGAGGGGCTAGTTCAGTAAAACATTTCAAACCTGATCTAACGGATTAAAAAAATACTCTACCATATTAACACATCGCGTTCAGTTATTTAGTTATAAGGGTTCCCAAACTTATTTTGTCTCGGCCCATTTTGAGATTAAATTATTTTTTAGCGCCCCCATTTTTTTCACCTACTTAAAAACCACTATTACTTCAAGATCAACAAATCACCCTCCAAGCCTCCTCTTTTTTTCTGGGTCTCTTACCGCCCCCCTTTAGGCTTGCAGCACCCACAAGGGGGCGTTATTGCCCCCTTTGAGAAAGGCTGTTATAAAATATTATATATTTTTGTTGTGTTCCGACCTATATTTTTTTGGAGAAAATGTTCATCATTGATAGAACACTCCATAAAACGATGGCAATGAATTCACTGTCACTCTTTAATAAAAAAAAAAAAATGTTACAACAGGAAAAATATATAACATTCATGTGGAAAGAAAGTGACTGTGAGATATTATTTATGTTCATCTCATAGTCACATACGATTCTATTACAAAATATGATGAGAGATATTAACTTTATTACAACCCATAGTAAATGGCCAGCTTTAGAACTAATGATCATGAGATTTAATGATTTGTTTATTTCAAAATGATAACTACTCGATTACTATTTTGTTTTGTTTCGACGATGAATGATTTTGAGTTTTTACGTTATTATTTTCTTGAATGCTTGATTAACTTATTTCTTCTCATATAGAGAATTCTCGCAACTGAATCTTAAGAAGTGGCAATAAAGACATATATTTTTATATTGGTAAATATATAGTAGTGAATTCTAAATTTATAATGAAGGATTTATATCACTTCATAATATATAGATGCCATTTCTTCTCTATTTCATATAACGTTATTAGTAAATTGTATGAATGGGGCAATTATTTTCGTTGAGTATTATCTATTGATGTTTGAGATGATATGATTCTGTTGAGAGTTCTTATTTTGATTGAAAGTACAAGTTGCAATGGCTGAATGTGGTTTTTTTTTGTCTCAAATGGGTACCTACATTGGCCATAGAATAACAAAACCCACTGTATCAAGTTGTCATTGTACCTCATGTCAGCACGGACCTCACTCTTTATATTATTATTTGATGAAATATTGTTAATTTAGGTAGGTCAAAATAAAACTAGTGTATAATTTTGCTAATACTGAAGTAGCTTCTTATTTTCAGTCTGTTAATATTATGTAAAGAATAAGTATTTTAAAAGTGGCAGAATGTTAAAATTTTTAAAACATTACATGAGCAAATAAGTAGTGCAATATAAAATTTCGTTTTCTGTCATATTTGTATATTAAGATTGGAAACAAATTAACTTGGATTGTATCAATTTGGTTATCTAAGGTGTTTAACAATAAATGGAATACGTAATGATTAATTAAAAGTTCCATACATTGTTAACATCCTCCATTGTGTGCCCACATTCATAGTTGTACCTATATTTACGTGTTTGTTAATTTTTTATTTTAACGTCTAGGTGATAAGACCCAAATTTGTATTGTATGTAACTGTGTACCTGCTAGGCACGTTCAGATTACCTCTATAGTGTAATCTCAGTCATCAAATGGTTTATTCTCATTGTTTTCTTCTGCTGTATTTATAACGATGGAAAATTGGACACATTCTGCACATGTATTTATTTATTAAAATTTCGATCAAATATTAAGAAAATTCAGAACAAATCATGAAGAAATATGAGAAATAAAACATTAGTATAATCATAGGACGTAGAATTTACATTTTCTTTCCAAATAACATTTCTGCGCTAATTTAACACGTGTTGTTTTGTTGTGCAATAACTGTAGTTGGATGGATGCTATACTAGTTAGTAGTTAGGTTAACCGTTTTACTAAGCCATATGTTAATGAGATTATTGCGCAGATGATCTCGTATCGCCAAAGGCGTTTCTTTGCAAAAGTATTTGTAGCAGTAGTCTTTCATTCATTATTTTTCACTAATTTAAAAAGAAGTGAGGTCTTACATATTACTGTTAAATATTATATGTTTACGCTTAAAACAGATGTATGTACAGTGCCTGAACTGATGAAGCTGCACGAAAGTGGAGAAAAAGAGAATATTAATATATTGTAAATAAAAAGTAGAAAATTATTTGAATATTATTTATTAAAAGCCCTGTACACACCCCATCAGGAGTCAAAATTAATAGAAAGAGGTGTAATGTGTAATCTAAAAAAAATACTTAACCGATTATAAAAATTGTATATTCGAAAAATTAGAAGCTCTACCTATCTGTGCGAAGCCGAAGCGGGTAGCTATGTACGTACATATATATAGCTATATCACAATGTCTTTAAGAGCAGCAAGTTGATAATTTTAAGTTATTATTATAAATTCACACCTTATTCATACATTAATTCTTGTCTTTTAATTGGAGTAGGAAATATGCTAACCGTTGCTACCTAACAATTGACATCAGATAATATTAAGCTATCCATAGTTCACGCATGGTTTTGCTCCTAAAAACTGACTTGTGACTTTTTTTTAATGATTGATAAAGAAATGGTAACCCCGCCTGCGATAACGGTATATGCTGGTAGGGCACCAGTGAGAGATGATAGATGAGGATGAAAGAGCTGGTCAGTTAGCCCACCGTGATAAATACGCCTGGAATTTAGCACGATGATTTCCAAGGGGAACCACGTGGAGGTAGATAGGATATATCCATAGCCCGCTGAGTAATTTGAAGCTTTTGCATACAGGCAATCATGTAGGACCATATTTCAGTTACATAAGTTATCACTATGACCTCACAATTTCATAATATATTATACCTTCGTTACCATCTTCGAAAAATTTCTTTGCGGTTTTTGTTGTTACAGACACAATTAAGTAAAGTGAAGTTCTGTAGTCATCTAGAAGACAATATCAAGGTGGCGTCCTAAAAGCTGAATACAGCGAGATATTATGAAATGAAGGATACAGCGAGATTCAAAAAGAAAGAAATTTCTAATTCGATTATTTTTTTTATGTTTCTTACCTTATAACTCAGTTCTAAACTGATTTGGTAAATTATTTTTATCTGAAAGAATATACTTACAGATTGTTCCCATAGATATTTTATCAAAAATCGGTTAAGTAGTTTAGTTTTTAGATCAAAATAACTGGTTTTGTCATAATTGAAGTTGGTTTTCTTTGTTGGACGCAATAATTTAATTATTGTGATGTATCATAGAAACAATTTTATTTTTACAGTAGGTAAATATTCGACTAATATTATCTTACGAAATACACTTTTTGTATTTTCTACAAATAGCGGATTTTATAAAATTTAGAAATTAAAAATGTTAAAGTGTAACATTTTATGAGTATGTGAATTATCGTTAACATATAGACACAGAATAAGTTACGTTTCCCGAATTACAGGACAGTAGTCCATAAATACGTCTGTTTAGATACACCAATAAAGATTATAGTCTAAAGCATATTTATTTGTTGTATGTTAATATTGGATTTTTGTAAGTTAATAGTTACTGCAGAATAAGCTAATGTAAGCAGGTACCTAAGCGCGGTGTGAGTATGTCGTAAGTCCCGTCGGCCCGGTTCACAGCCACAATGCGCGGAAGTGCGGCCGCTGGTGTAACCAACGCCTTCCGCTATATCAGGTCTTACTACAATTAGACCACTATGCCACTTGTGAACAATATAGACGATTATGCATCTCATTCCGAATTAGTTTGTCCTGGCGTCAAGCAAAAACTGCTGCATCAAATTATGATGAGATTATCAAAGCTGTGTTCCTGAACGTCCAAAGTAAAATCTGATGTATATTTTATTTTAATATGCTATTTGTTTTATTGGTTTTTATAAAAAAATATAAGTTAGATACGTAACTGGTTTTGTCTGCGAAATAGATCGCATGGATTTTATTATTTCTTATGGGGGATTGACTATTGTTGATATATTATGTTCGTAATTATGTTAAATTATATAAGTTATTTTAAATTATTTAATATTTTCTTAAAATTGTTTATAAGTTTATTGCTATGTATGCAACGTACTTCATAGTGGAATGGTGTCATCGTTGTTTCGTAGCTAACGAAGTGAAGGGTTGTCGATGGTATGCCATTATTGTTTTTATAAAAAGTTCAAGGCTTCCATTTATTACCGCTATCAACTTCAAACATTACTCACATGTTTTCGATTAGCTAGTATCTAATATCATAATATTAAGTGTATTAATAAATTTGAGATCCAATACTTTTTCACAAATAGTCAAAAGATCTTTTCATCTATGATGTGAAGAAGACCTTGGTAGTATAACAGTTTAATACACTACCTGATGGTTATGGACTCGATTAGTGCACAATAAAAACTTTTGAATTTTTCTGAGTTGGTATGTCTACTTGCATTTGCGTTTTGAGTGATTTCTATATGTTTTAAGTACATTATTATTATTTAAAGAAGAGCTTTTTCCAAAATCCTAAGACATTGCGACTTTTCCAAAAGGTTTTGTGCTCGCCCTTTTTAAAAAATTTGCTGCTAATTCCTGTCAGTGATAGGAATTTTAAGATGTTTTTTGCAGCAATGTTTTTTAACTCTTTAGGATGTAAAGTGTATTTTCCAAAGGAGATTATACTATTTATGTATGAGTCGACTTTTTTTAAGTATATATGCATTTATGTATTTCTTATTACGTATCTAATACAGATCCACTTCCCATAGTACAAGCTCTGCTTAGTTTGTAACTAGATGTCGCTGTATGATATGATATGTGCTTAAATTTTTCTTTATATAATAAGCTATAGTATCCATAATTCTAGTTTCTTTAAAGTTTTCTTAACGGGGTTATTTAAAAAAATCCTCTTCTTACTCCTGCTAGTTACACCATTATATTATGTAAAAAAAGGCGTTATCTGGTTATATGCTTCAGAATTCTATGTATTTAGATAGGTATAAGGATTTTGTAAATTTTTAGCTTTTAACTTATATTGTCATTAAAATAAAACTATAAATAAAAATAAAGAATCAAAAATTTAAACAGGAAACAACGCCATGTTGATTAAGTATATTTATTATATTAAGTAGATTTAGCTTCTTGACGTACGGTTTAAAGTATGTTTTAATAGCGTGACTGAGCATTCTTTATTACTAAATTCAGATTTTAAAACAATATCCTCGCTACTATTTTTAGATTTTTTGTTATGTATTATAACAAAAAGTAAACATATATTATTTGTTAAAAGGATTAGAAAATAAACGCCGTCATTAATTATAAAGATCTATTTAAATTTTTTCTGCATCTTCCCCTGTTTAATACGTAATATCAATTCCGGATTTTAATGAATATGTGTGTGAAAAGCTTAGATTAATCTATTTGGAACTAAAATAACCGGACGGATTTGCATGAAATATGGCACAAACATCGATCAAATTCTAGATTCATATATAAATTATTTTTTATCTTTATTCATATGAACAAGGATGCGACATGTAGCCAGCAATTATTAAATATTAAACTCAGTTGCATCTGTACTTTAGTAGGTCGTGAAAGGATATAAGAAGATTGCCAGCCGCTTATAAGTCCTTGAAGCATATGAAGTAAATAAACAGTGTAGGTACTAAGCATTAAACTATCAATGTAATGTACACATTTACCTAATGATTATATCAATGCGAACAACATTTGGATTTGCTGTATTTAGCATTGACACTATTTTTACTTATTTAAGACGATATCATTTGCTCGTTTGACCTCAGTAATTGTACACGGGAAAATTCGTAAAGATACCTACGTTTTACAAGAAACAATTTAAGAATAACAAACGAACAGTCTCATAATCTTGTTTAGACCTCGCTCCTAATTGTTTTATTTCACTGGCATCATTAACAAGCTATGGACGCTTTTATAATTATTTGTAGCATAACATTAAAAGATTTTATCATCACATTAGTAAATAATAAGTGGAAAGTTAAATGAAAGCGTTTGTAATGAGATGTTTTTTTAAGTTATTTTAAAAAGGCCTCCCATTTTTGCATTCCAACATACTTTTATGAATTGTATCTATACGATATCTTTACCAGTTCTGAACTGATTTATGTATTATATACCTTATATGCTATCTGAACTGTATGAAACGAATCCACTATTATTTATTAGTATTTATTTTTTGTTTTTTTATCCTCTAAATACACTAATTGTAATTACCTATTACTTTCGACGATTATTTTTGACGATATGTTTACGCTTTATATACAAACCCTATAGTTATTTTCTCCTTTTAGATTCTCAAAGTTGACTGGAGAAAAATTCCTTCAAGGGATAAAGTCGCCTATGTATTTCATAATTTTTATTCCTCTTTATTACCTGTTATTTTTTTTTAACATGTATGTACAATAAAGCTTATCCATAAAAACAAACAATATTTATGGAATGATTTTATTCGTAATCTTTTTTATTTTATTTATTGCCCTTTAATTTAAAATTTAGATGTCGCAGTATATAAAGGAAAATTAGTTTTTACAGGAAACTATTCATCGTATTCTGAAGTATGTACGTAATTGAATTTTTATGTCTTTCTGAGTACGTATATTGTTACGTAGACAACAGTGTTTATGGTTATTCTTAATTACGTAGTACTATTAACTCAAACAATTATGTTGGTTGTGTATACGTTAATAAAATCATATCCACGAAATATTACAACGCCGACTAGGGTGTTGTGTCATCTGCCAATTGATACACCTACATATTTTCCCAAGACATTCCGTGAAGAGGTCAAACATTAAATGCCAGATTCAAGGTATGCGGAACCTGCCATCAATATCAATTTAGGTACCTACTCATTAATTTCTAATGACTGATATCAAGCAAATTCGATATGAAATGTATTGTATATATTATATAAAACAAATAAAATATTTTGTATGTTTTAGTTCAAATTTGAGTCTAACATTATCTTAGACATTATAATATATGGCAACATATATATCTTAGACATTATAAATACATGGCAACACCGACTGCACTAGCGGTATAATCTAGTTCATGTATATTTTATTAATAAAAATAGAAAATTTAGAATATACCTAAATTACACGTGATTAAACTGTGTGTTAGTGATTAAATATCCTGTGTTCGTGTTTGTAAT